CCATACTCACTCCGATCAGGTGTCTCGACGAATGACTAGTGGTAAGGTAGCCTTGTGGTCAAAGCGTGTCCACACGCTGATGACCCGGGTTCGATTCTCCACATGCGTACAATATGTGATGCCCATTTCTGGTGTCCCCCGCCGTGATATTGCTGGAATATTGCTAAAAGCGGTTTAAAACCGCCGCTCTGAGCAATATTCAAACAATGATCAGGGAACGAGTGGATTTTACACTGTTTCCAGACTGAATGGTATGGTTTTACGTAGCTCTTATCAATATTCCAGCCATGCGGCGGGTGGGCTTCACGCATAGTACCCATGGTGGGAATCGAACCCGGGTCTTCGGTGTGACGAGCGAACGCTTTAATCTCTAGGCTACCCCACCGCCCGCTGTTTCCAAGAGTGTTTCGGTAATATATCGAGGCATGTCGGTTTAACGTGTGAAATAACTAAGCCATGTGAAGAGTCTGTCACCAATGCTGCACAGGAAATGGGTATTGTTTCGTATATGCTTGGTGAATCATGTGGGGTACGTCCGGCTAATGCCTGCTAATACTGAAGGACGACAAATAGTTGCCGCCGGTTGAATCGCCCGAATTAGTGACCGTCCATAATGTATGGCAAGGTTTGTTGATGATGATTTTTATGGAGAAGCATGTATACAATGTGAATGGCTCCCCTAAAATTTATGTACAAAGTAAGTGACCCCCCACGCCTGCATGTCATAATTTAGGGTAATTTTTACAATGATACAGTCCCGTGCCAGATATATTCGGACACTTGACATAATTTCCATAGACTTACATGTTATTTCAGTGTAGCATAAATAATTTTCATGACGCGAGTTTAGGATGGATCTTTGTAAAATTTGACAGGCAAATTTGAAATCAACTCTGCTCTGCGTACATAATTTAAGTTCAGTTTTCCGACCACTATTTAACTAATGACATAACATTTATCAACTTACGTATGGTTCCACAATGGACAATCCCATAGGCGCCATGTTCAACGACTGACTGACTGACTGAGTTTGGTTTTATGCCGCTTTTAGCAATATTCCAGCAACATCACGGCGGGGGACACCAGAAATGGGCTTCTCAAACACATTGTACCCATGTGGGGATTCGAACCCGGGTCTTCGGCGTGACGAGCCAACGCTTTGACCACTAGGCTACCCCACCGCCCCCCATGTTCAACGAGTTCACGGCACTGTACATATGTTGATTAAATTGTTGCCATTCGATAAATAAGCAATGGAAAATTAAACAGAAATTATGTGATTGTAGGTAAGATGATTCGTCACAAATATGCAAAATTACGAAAATTAAATACATAAAAATTATTTATGCCACACTAAATTAACACGTAAGTCTATGGAAGTACGTCAAGTGTTCAAATATAACTGGCACGGGTCTGTACCTCTAAGTCATCAACTGGGGACGAAACCTAAAGACACACCCAGTTAAATCGGGTTCTCGCCAACCACTGCTGGCTGTAAGATGCGACTTGTTGGTGGTAGTCAGGCTTGAATGATTGCATATCATTGGCGTGGATCGTTTGATCGTTTGCTCATAATATCAATCACTGGGTGGCATGACCCGGTTCGATTGTTTCCGGCAGACGTTATATAGCTGGAATATTGCTGAGTGAAGCGTTGAACAACAGGCAAGAAGGTTTTGGAAGAGAGTCCAGGTTGAGGTACGTCGTGGACATTAACTACTTTGGCGTATCCCAGAATGTGTAGACTGTTCACAGACCCTTGGTGAAGATGACTGGACAAATGTTAGATTTACTGAATGAATGTTGATAAAAATAGTGACTTCCGTGGAGTCGGAAATATACTTCGTCTGGACATGTGTGCGGATCCTGTTTGAAGATTCTGAGGCAACCGGACGATACTCTGTGAGGTCGAGATGACACCCTGTTACTGACGTATAGACGATATCCGGATGAACATGTTCCTTGAAATGATCGTGCACTGACACACGAGCTGAGTTGTCTTACCTTTTGAATTGAACTCACGATCTATCCTTTGCGCAAGGACACCATGACTGTATTCGTAACTACTCGCCTCTTTCCGTGACCAATCCGGCTTGCCGGAATGACACGAGTAGTTACGAATGACCATACCTGGTTAACTATTATATTACAATCGACCATGAAGATTGGTTGGTTGGTTGGGTTTTTTTTCTTTAACGACACACTCAGTAATATTCCATCTATATGGCGGCGGTCTGTAAATAATCGAGTCTGGACCAGACAATCCAGTGATCAACAGCATGAGCGTCGATCTACGCAATTGGGATTCAGTGTATGAATTAATTTTGAAAAGTCACTGGCCAGGAGGGCTAGTTAAGTAAAAATGTTGCTAGCATACATCATACTTCACTGGCCCTGCAAAATATCAATATCAAAATGCATATCTGTCAGAATTGGTGTGATGTTTGGTAACTGAAGATGGTAAGTTGTTGTCGCCCCTTGGAAACAATATAAATCAAACAAACACAATCAAGTTAAAGGTTACATTTGTATTGTAATGATTCCTGACCTCTTTTGCGCAACGCTATTAACATTTTTATATAACGATCTTCGTGTGACAATGATATAATAATATCACGAAACTTTTGCGGACGGACTTTTAACACCTTAACAATTGACTCCATCACATTCATGTACATTAAATAAAGAACAAATTGTCTGAGATTTTCAGTTATAGTCAGTCGGGATAGCTTTAGCAATATGTTACTGGTCCGATTCACAATCAACTAGCATTTGGCTAGCGGGCCAGCAGCTATTTCGAACGCTGAATTGGGATACGATGACATTGTGTCAACCAAGTCAGCGAGCCAGGGCCTAGTTTTTCGAAGCTCTCTTAGCGCTAAGATAGTCGTAAGTGCCATACATTAACATTAACTGACGACTATCTTAGCGCTAAGAGAGCTTCGAAAATCTGGGCCCTGGGCCCCGTTCCTCAAACCATCGTAGCGCTAAGATGATCGTTACTCTCATACTTTAACATGGACTTACGACTGTCGTAGCGCTACGATCGCTTTGAGGAACGGGGCCCTGATCCCGATCCCGTTAGTCGCCTCTTACAACAAGCATGGGTTATTGATCTTCACAGGGTTCCGCCCTGCGGCTGCATATATATAATGGTAACGTCAGCCCATGTACATCTGAATTTACCACATTGTCAAATATACATCGCCGTATATACATCCATAATCCCCCATCCACTATTTGACCTCATCGACTTGTGAAGATCCGGGTTGAAATTGTTCTTCAGCTAACCTTATTTGTCTAACGGGGCCGGGTGTACAGGCTCGTTGACTTGGTTGATGTATGACATCATATCCGAAAGGATGAAGATCGATGGCCATGATGTCAACCACTAGATTGACTGAATCGCTCGGCTGTTTACAGATAATATAGCTGCACAAGTGCTGAATGTGGCCTTAAAACAAAACATGGCCGACTTAGCCAGTACGAAACACTTCGTTATACAGAGTTGTGTCCCCTTGTTGTAACGGGACCCATTGAATCCTGATTTGCCTGTATTGTCATAATTATGTTTCTAGGTTTGCAATCACATAGTCCTCGTCAGTTTCACGAAAAGGACAAAATGATAAACGGCTAACTGAACTATATTTCCACACCAAATAACATAATTAATAAGGTGACATAACTTAAATCTTATTCAAAACACACACAAAAATCACTCATTCGCTATAGTACCTGTTTCGGACACTCATATTGCAACTACATGCCTTATATGGCATGCCTTATATAACGGTATCGATGTTACCGGATAACATGCATATTAATTACGTCTTTAGACTAATGTTAAATGATTGGGCATATGCACTCATAAATACAAAAATGGTCATGATTATTAGAAGCGGCTCTCAAAGAACAATAATTAATAAAACATTGCATGGCGATAAAGTAGATACGCCGAGCAACCTAATGCAATAAAATACTAACGAACGGATAAAAAAATGTATATGTATATTAATACACATGCAGAATAATGGTCTTTCGTCGAAATAATATTTGACAATAAATTGTGTGTATGAACAAGCTATATGGATAAATAGACGGGCAGCACAGGTATGTTGCAGATATTAATTGTCATTGTACATAGCGATGACCATACTTTAATGAACGAAACGACTCAATATGTGAACATCGATGAACGTTTGCCTTTCACAAGGATGCATATTAATGAATGTGTTTATTAGATATCTGGGGGCCATGAAAGTGTCTCACTGTTCAAATCTTTTTATGTTGGTGTTTTTTTTATCCAAAATGATGAAAAGAATCTAATATGCGTCTATCAGGTTTTGAGAGAGGCCAATAGATCTATGAGATACATTAAAATAAAAGTGCTTATACAGACATTGCTTATATCATATAATATGATATGAAAGTAGTCATAATTATGAAATAGTTATACGATGTTGTTTATTGCAAGAAGTCGGACCTAGCAATCATTGCATTACTACTGAAAATGGAAATATGTTAACCACCTTACATGAACTGTTAACTTTTATTTGGGTCAAAATATATCAGCTAATGTTTTCGATACATAGTACATGCTGAGGGGAAGTTGAGACACACCTAAAGCCTTTCAAGTCTGATTTATATCTGTTTGCTTGCTGTGTACACAAGTTATAAATATATCCATTATATTTCCGACAAAGTTGATTTCAAAAGAAAACTCGAGTGGAATGTCAAATTGCTCTATTTTGGACCAATCATCAAGCGGTATTTTAGTTGGTGCTCTAAGCAACTTCCGGTGACGTAATGCATAGTGTTTCCTTGTTCGAGAGGTGAAAGGAAAAACAAGATTTGATACCCCTATAATCAAACTCATCAACAATGGTTGTGCGCTAACTAATCTTGGAAGTTTGAGGAACGGATTGGTTGTCACACAAGACGGAAACGACCTAAAGTAAGGTCTTTTCAGAACACTTTTTTGTTTGAAAATCGTAACCCCTAACGGCGCATGTCTGAATCGCCATATTGGGTCGGAGAGGAATTTACTGCAAGGTGCTTCATTATAGAAAACATTCTTGTATACAGTTCGTTGCATCGATGTAATGCATATAGTCATTATATCAAATTTATTGTCACATTCTGTATGTTTTGGCATAGTTTGTCGTACTAATCAATGGTGATCATAACCTACGGAGAATTATTTGGGGTCAGCTAACCCAAGAGTTGACATAGCAGCTTACACTCCCCTCGGCTTGTCTATGATCGTCCTACTTTGAAATCAACACACCCTTGTTCGAGAAATACGGCTACCCGTGCGCACCTCATCATATCATTACGAGTACTGTACTTACGTTTGCATGTCACTGTGTTCGTTTGACATTTCATTAAGTTAATGTTGTCATAAAAAAGTTTCCATGTACTCCCCGTTTGTCATGTTTACCTTGTTGAAATGTCAAAGTTGTCACATTATACTGCAGACATTCATAGTATTGTGTTGCAGACTTTCTTAAATCACTTTTCACTTCATACATTGGCTTGGATGACATTTTGTAGGGTCAAAATGTATTTCTGTCACTTTCGTACTCTCCATGTGTCAACAATGTTTAGAATCTTCTTTTATGAAACATGTCTCCATACAGATTCACAGATCCAGGTTCTGAACATACTTTATGCTCACAATTATTTGGATTGAAATGCATGAACCAGAAGGGCTCACACTGTGCAGCATGTAATTGCAAGAACCCATGTCATAAACATAATAAATAATTTGATATCTATTTCATTCCCAAATTATCAAGGGATATTTCTGAAATTTGTTGGCGATTTAGCATGTTTAGGTTACCTAATGGTTTTGACAGTAGCTCATTCGTGTGAAAACAAGGATGTGATTCCTCGAATAGAATAATTGTGTGTACCTAATTTTTCTTGATCCCAATGCTGGTGCGGAGTACAGTTGAAAACAGCATAGCACTCAGTTCGTCCGCTGACTGTTGATTATTTGGATGTTCAGAAAGTTAACCTACAATTGTACTGTATGCGTCAATTACAATTCCAATATTTTTTTCCACTGTATTTGACAACAATAAAGGACAGCAAAAGAAAATTCTTCACGGTAAGTAACATAACAGAAAAATTAAAGATAAAGTCATGGACCCTGTATATTTTTTTTAACTTGGTCAGGGAGGGATGTCACATGATCCATATAAATTAATTGCAAGTTCAAGTTCACAAAAGTCATTGTTCCATTCCCTATCAATCTAATGTAAAAAAACACTCAACTAGTCACACAATCAATTATTCGAGGTTACTATATGATATAAATAAATATTTCACGAATGACATGAGAAATTCTGAAATGACGACAAATGTTACAGTTAGTTGTGAGAAAACATCTGTTTGTACTGCCATGATTCTGTTCGGCAGCAATATATAGAAACATGATCAGTGGCAGTGAACGGGCTGGACACATCAGTGAATAGCTAATTAAGTATCATAATTAATTGTTTCATTAATTTATCAAACGGCAGAGTAATTTTGTAAATACTGCTAAAATATGACGATAACCATTCGGCAGTCAGTAGCATTATGAACATGTTTGACAATGAAGATACTCAGATTACTCATTTTTGGTGCTGTTATTGATGAATTAAATAATCAGAAATCAGGGTGGGTGGACCTAATTGTAATTTTACAATTTAGATAATGAAACATTTTTGCCATGTTTACATTGTGTGTGATCTTTCTGGTTTAAGAATAACAGAATACCTAAGAATAGTAAACTGTCAATAATCATGACCCTTGTTTGATGTTGATGTTATCGATTCCCCGTGGTTTTCCAAGAGTCTATAGCCTATGAAAGATTTTATTGTCATGAAAGAAGATCCTCCGTTGTGACTACAATGAATTGATGATTGAATAATTTTGCCTTTGGCTTTGTTGACATGACCGTCAGTTGTGATTATTTGGTAATTTTTTAACCAGCATCATGTTACCATCATTGTAGACAGAAGAGTCAATCTAAGTAAACTTAAGCTCTGTATTATTCGTTACACTGCTATACTGAGTCTAACAAACCCTAGTAGAAGGTTGCGTCAGCTAACATTTGAGCGACCCATCACCGTCCAATTAAACGCGAGACGGCCAAACGGATTTAACCAAACGGCTACTATTTTAGGGTTTGGAGGGACTTACAAAACGGTTTTGGGATTTTCTCTTCCCCGGTCGCTGACGCTGATCTCTCAACAAACGAAAATCGGCATAAAACACACATATTTGACCTGCAGTATGTACGGTTAGGGGTTTCTGATGACATGGTTACTATTACATAGTATTAGCCTACATTTCCACAAGATGACATCCTGGAATATTGACAAAAAACTTATTTTCAGCGACTGTTTACTTAATGTTGTGAATAATGGCATCCCCCATGTGTATCATTTGGAAGCGCTTGTGCAGAATTTAGCATTCGGAATTGTTCGAGTAAAAACATTTTCAGGGTAAAAGTTCAAACGGTATGTGCTAAGGTTAACTTTCGAGATTTGGTTAGCTGTGTTCTGATTTGTCAGTTCAAAAGGTTAGCTGATGCAACCTTCAACTAGGGGGAATACTGCATTTTACTGGGCGCACTTTTTCAAATTAATTAGCGCTGGGGCTCGAACCGCTTCGCCGGATTACTGACTTCATTCATTGGCGACGTAATATTGGCGGACGCTCTACCTCGGGACCACGAGCACCATCACAGTTAATGAGTGCTCGTTTATGGTTTGTTCATTTGCACAGAAGTGGCACGGAAGTGCATCGAAATGAAAACAATCCACTGCGCCGCAGCGCAATGGTTTGTTTATATTTCTCGTGCTTCCGCCCGAATGTGCCACGCCCTTCCCATTCATTTTTTTTTGGGGCGCCTTTATTTCTTGGACTGTACTGACGAGAACCGGATGGATCGAAATGTGTTTCAATTGGATATAATAGGATTATATTGCCCTAAGGTAAAGTCAAAATAAGAATCGGAAAGGGTCCCTAACCCTAACCCTAAGGATCGGAAAGGGTGCCGTACCCTAACCCTAAATCCTAACCCTAAGGATTGGAAAGATGCAAGTGAAGGGAGACAGTCAATTACCGCAATAGAGACAGTGCGGTAGTGCTATAGTGCGATAATTGTCCCGCAGCGAGGGCTGCGCCCGATAAAGTGCATTCTAACCCAACTAGGTTTTGTTAGATTCAGTATAGCAGTGTCTGTCTGAAAGCAGTATAAAATTCTTATTTTTGTTTGATAAAGACATGAAGTAAATCAAGATTTTGTTCTGTATATCAAATAACAAGCTGGATGAGATGAAGAAGTTTCGTTTTATATTTTTTGTGGATAGATGAGTAATTTACAAGAAGTTAGTAAAACACAACTTAGTAAAAACTTACCTGTGTGGGGACAGTTGTAAATGTGTTTTTCACTCATGGATTTTGGTTTGTGCTTATGTTTTTTACCTCTTTCTAATGTACTTTCCTTACAACTGACTGTGAGTTCTGCATAGGGCACTGAACTCTTTTCAAAGAACCCTCAGAACAACTGGATATTGGTTAATACTTGGCATAAAAGCTGCAGTAAAATAACTTCCATGACCTTTTGCATATGTAGCTGTGTACACCCTGGGCTGTTCGGGTTGGTGGGGTAGTCCAGTGGTTAAAGGATTTGCTCGTCTCGCTGTTCTATTCCCTACATTGGTACATTGTGTGAAGCCCATTTCTGGTGTCCCCAACCATGATATTTGTGGAATATTGCTAAAAGCGGCGTTAAACCCAACTCTCATCCTTCAATGCCCGAGGTATGGTACAGGGTTATTGAATCGAATCGCTATCAGTATCACAACAGCATGGGGGCTTAGTTTTCCTTAGTTTGATTTGATAAGAGGTGCATCACAGTGGTAAGATTGCTATGCAAACATTTTGGTAATCTGGGCAGAATGGGTCTCCATTATGCTAGGGCTGGGACGATACGATCCATATCGCAATATTTGACCTGCGATACGATACGCATCACGATACATACACCTTGAAAGAATGACACGGCATCAAGATTTAAAATGATTAATTTCAAGGTATTTGTGTTTAACAATAACACTTTTGTAATAAACAAACAAGTAACTCCACCATACTTGGGTATTTTTCTCTAAATACATACTGTAACATGTTTAAGATAATACTGTTTTGAAAAAAAGTTCTGTATCATTTTGTATCGATACACCAGTCGACGATACAATAGTTGTATAAACGTAATGTATCGCGATGCATTGGTGAATCATCTCAGCCCTACATTATGCACAATTGTGTCAACTGACTAGGATGTGGATTGGTTGGCCACAATGGCAGCCTGGAAGTTTAGATGTCATCACGCCCTAGGTTGTTGAATTGTTGCTTGTGTTAGTCTAGCCTTGATAATATATAGGCTACTGACTGGTGGTCAGTATATAGCTGATTGCAAAGTAAATCACATATTAACACTTATGGATAAATTAAAAACTGAAGCTTGAGGTATCAGATTATAAGCAGATAATAACAATAGGATTGTGTTATTCCATATGTCTCCTTGTTGTAGTTGATTTGCTTGGGAGGTCAGCAGCTGTATCACATTGTGGCATGGTCTAACTATTTATATATTGTTAGTGTTACAAGATGGTACTTCATGTTATCATGCCTGGCACCACATCCATGATGTATATTTGTTACACTGGTAATTCATGGTGTCTTCTTCTTTGGCATGTTTAGAAGTTGATGAATCAGATAAGGACAAGATTTGTGGATGAACAACTACTTTATTTGAATGATGTGACGTTTCGATACCGATTCTTGTATCGTTGTCATTAATGTCAAGTAATGTCAGTATGATGTATATTTGTGAAACTGGTAACCCATGGTATGTCAGTGAGCTAGCACTGCCCACCGAGACTAGTACTAGCACCTACGTGCAAACATGCTTCACAGTATGACAGTGCAGTAATCTTCAACATGATCTTAAACCTCATTTCACGTCACCTGATAATGTGGCTAGTGTTCTGTAGTTAGATTCGACAGTAAATCTTATGTCACGTTGTTATCTTACGCCTTCCTAACACTCGTACAGGGAAGTAGATACAGTCCGCTTGTCATGCTATCAGTGTTTTACTGGGCGTACTTGAGTTTTGTTCCTTCACTTGTCTAGGGGGTCACTTCCGGTTGGGTAGCCTAATGGTTAAAGCGTTGGCTCGTCACGCCGAAGGCCCCGGGTTCGAATCCCCACATGGGTACAATGTGTGAAGCCCATTTCTGGTGTCCCCTGCCGTGATGTTGCTGGAATATTGCTAAAAGTGGCGTAAAACCAAATTCAGTCAGTCCATTGGAAACATTCAACGTCATGCAGGGTGAGAAATATATTGTCATTATCTTGCAAAAGATCTTCTACAGACTTAATCATTAGTCTTTACTGATATCAGACAAACAGTCTTATATTAAGTTAGGAATGAGTGAGTTTTAGCAATATTCAAGCAATATCACGGCACTGGGCACCAGAAATTACCAAATTTACCTGAAGGGAATTGAACCTTCGGTGTGGCGGGTGAATGCTTAAACCACTAGGCAACCCAGCCGCCCCTCTAAGTTAGGACTCTCAACAGGGTAAATTTTTGTTTTTTTGTGTGGTTTAAAGACGTACTCAGCAATATGGGTTCCCAGCTGTATGGTAGCAGTCTGGACCCAACAATCCAGTGATCAACAGCATGAGCATTGGTCTACACAATTAGGATACAATGACATGTGTCAACCAAGTCAGCGAACCTGGCCACTCGATCCTGTTAGTCCCATGACAATTATGCATCATTTTTTTATACTGCCAATTCCTCTCCCATCTTAATCCTAGTTTAATCTTAACTTAACCAGTTTATGTACACTTATCTGTTAGTGGGAACTCTGGGAACTGGTATTGATAGCTTTGACTCTAATTGTCGGTAGTACTGGAGCGATTGATTGAATAATCGGTCAATCAATCGAGCTGACTTGTGTCAGCTATTATCGATGGGCTCGGGAAACTAATCAATATTCATAGACAATGAAACATGAAATTAAATTAAGAATGTTTCTAATTTTATGTTTGCTAAACAAGACATAAACAACAGATGCAGGTTCATGACTCGTAAAACTGCAAGGTAAACAACTTACTCGTTTGCTTGTCCTAACAGGAAGTATCGTTGATCATCTTGATTGTGGTATTTAGTGTTGTCTGTTTCGTTTGCACTTTGTTATGATCGTGTCCCGCCATTGCCTACATGAGTTTTGTGGTGGGTTTTTTATTACAATTGATTATAGATCAATTAATCAGCCCCGATTATTGATATGCATATTGTGAGAGCTAACCAGTGCCAGTCATCGTGGGCTCTTCTTATTCCACACTGAGTTCACACTCATTGATTTAACTGTATTACTGTTTTGTACAAAACCTCAATATCATGAAACCCATTTTATGAACAGTTCATTGTATGAAACTAAACTGTAACTTTCAAATACAGCCATGTTCAAAGTTAAGTAGTTTTGAGATGTGTAATATTTCATAATGACGACTTAAATCTTCAACTTTGAACATGGACATTGTGACAGAGCCCCTTGACCTTTTAATTTCAAGCACTGTAACGTCCTAATTGATCCTGTTTTGTGTTTTTTACACTTGTTTTTGTATCAGAACATTGTACATATTTAATCATTATAAATGTCCTCTGTCATATTTACTCACATAGCAGGGAAGTGTTGATCAAATAGTCGACTACAAAAACTACCATTTATGTCTGGTACTAAATAAACATTGAGTTTTCAATTTCAATGGACTCTTTTGACATTCAATTTGCTTGTATGTGAAAAGCCTTCACTGACGCTCAATTGAAGTGATTCACCACCCACTTTTTTACCAAAGTGAATTCAAGAAAACATTTCAGGTTGTCTATTTGGTATTGAAAGTTCAGTACAATACTAACGCAATAGATTGTGGGGATTTTATTAGCTTGATTACATTCACTGCAGATTGTAGAATCACGTGCATCTGAGTTTACGTTGACAAACGTTTAAGTGTGATTGAATTATGATCTTCATTATTCTGATCAGGTACATTGCCATGGACCCTAGTCCGAAGCCAGGTCTAGTAAACTTTCAGTTTAGTAAGAGTGCAAACAAAAGTCATACTCCGAGATCTACTGAAAATAATGTCAAGTGACATGTTTGGGCTAGTACAGTGTAAATGAGAAGTTGCCAAGTAATAGTAGTCCGAGCTACAGATAACCTTTTTGGTCATTGAGTTATGTACTCGCTTTTGTTCATCTAACTAGGATATCCTAATTTTCCTTTGAATAACCAAACAAATTGTATCCACCTCACTCAATTTTGCCATTAATTGTAAAAATATAATAAAGTTTAAATTTTTGTTTAGGTAAGGAAGACAGCAAGTTGCCAAGTTCACATGCGGAAATAGAACCTCTCAGTATACCTCAGTTATTTTATTTATCCACCGGTACACAAGCTAAGATTTGACATTTTTGTGTGTACGCATGTAAGATCAAATTATTGAGTATTTACAAAATTTCGAGCGTACTTGTGCACAATAGATTTATTAGGAATTGAGTTTTCACATAAATATTTGCGTAATTTATGCTGATACACAGTTTATCTGTACCTCTGAGTAGTTGAAAGTACAGTGAGATATTGTTTGATCTTTATCAAAGAACGGTATTTTCTGTTCACAATGTACTTTGCTTGCTTTGTGTGGTAGTCATGCTGAAAAGACAGAAACTGCAATATTTGGTGTGTTTTGGACAGTATTTTGTTAAAAATCCGTGAGATTGGGCAAAGATGTTGTTCAGGACAAGACAGTAGGAAGAACAACTGTCAAGTCATCAGTAAACTGGATAAACTTAAAGATATTCAAGAGTATTTTTGGAAACAAATCAAATTTTAAGAATATTTTATACAGCAGGGCCTAGATTTTTGACATTAACATTAACTTACGACTATCTTCGAAAGAGAGCTTCGAAAATCTAGGCCCAGGGATTTATCTAGCATTTGAGACTTTGAACAACGGGGGAAGTTATATGGATATACAACTTCTTTATTATCATGATTATAATGTGAGCGACCTAACTGTTAGCAGCTACATCAAAACAACATGTACATTATAATAAAGAAGTTGTATAGCTATAGAACTTTCCTATGGTACGTCCCGTCAACTTCTAAATGCCACTCAAAGAAGTTATTTGAAACTTTGGCTGGCACATTGGGTTAAAATATTGTGATATTGTCCAAAAATTGGATTTTTTAAATGTTCCTAAGTTCTATGTTTTATATTCTGGCTTGGTGTATTGGCCTCTGAGTAGGTCCCGATAGCTCTCCAAACAGACCTTGAATCTCACATTACAGTTTTAAAGAAGTGTTAGATTTCAGTACGCTTTAATAATCTATAATTTGCTGAATGTGTGAGCCCAGAAAGGACTGCAAGTTTGCTGCTTTGTTATCGGTGCTGTGTAATATATAACAGTTACTCTTATGATGTGTTCGCCATGAATAGTTTCAAAATTGCTGATTTTCATTAAGCAATACTTATTTATGTGTGTTCTCATCATGCAGCAAAATATGATCTTGTAATGAGAGTGATAAATAATCCTAAATTTGAAACAGTTGAGAGTACAGAAATATTTATTTGGGTTATATTGATGTACAATTGGAGCCTTTCTGATAAAATAAAGTAAAAATTTACATAAATCTGTATAAAGGAACTTATTGCCTTACATTGAGCCTTGGATTTAAACCTGGAAGTCTGTGCACGTTTGTAATAAGTTTGAATGTGGTGTTTCAGACGGAGGTGCAACTTATCAAGTGTGATCTATGCCGCTAACGTGCCCTGGCGGCGAGCCACTTCCCCGCTACAACAGTCGAGAGAGGTAGAGGGCGGCCGCCGCCGCGGAGCGCCGGTGCTGCACCTGCCACCGCCATGCCCTCCAAACCGGGCAGCCTCAAAGACCCTGATGTAGCCGGACTGTTTTCCACGGAGGATCCGGAGAAGATATTCACGGATCTCCGTGAGATTGGACATGGGAGCTTTGGGGCTGTCTACTTTGTAAGTTGTATCTTCTGTTGTCTATGTCTGCATAGTTGTATCCCTTGGGTGGCAGGATCTGCTAATTGTGGGTTGAGTATAGAGCCTTGGAGTATCAGGTGTCTGTATTGACATATTTTAAATAAGTGTTCATTGTGACACCAAAGCCAATATATAATCACTGTTTCTCTTAGTCCAGACACAGATGCAGAGGCAGAATTTAGGTCAACAGTGCCACATTTTGGTATTTGCTGTATATTGAAATTATGTTATTTTTCTAAATGCAACTAATTGTATTATTAATCCTTATAGATAAATGTTAATATGATTACGTATTAGGATAATGCTTTCCATCTCTAAAAACAAACCCAGCAAAATGTTGAAGAACCAGTGCAGTTTTTGGTTAATGTATTCATGATTGCTCTTTGCTTGATGATGATGATGATGATGGTGATGATTTTGTTGTGTCTAACAGGCCAGACATGTCCACACCAATGAGATTGTTGCCATCAAGAAGATGTCCTACAATGGTAAAACATCAGCTGAAGTGAGTAGCCATGTTTTACCCTTGCTGTTAGCTTTCCCTCACACAATTGTTTTAGGCAAATATGTCCTCCACATCCAGTCCAGTTTCACACAGAAAATCATATAAACAATTTGCAAAAATACCTTCAAATGGCTTCAATAAATATTTCTTTATTTTGTGGAATTAATTCATCTGGAAATACTTTTGGCTTGAGCATGAGATTACAGTTTTTAGAAATTCAGTACTGATTGTATATGTCTATTTCCAGAAATGGCAAGACATCTTGAAAGAAGTCCGGTTCATCAAGCAGCTGAAACATAGGCACACCATTGACTACCGGGGGCTGTTACTTGAAGGAGCATACAGCATGGGTGTGTATTAGTGTTGGGTATTGCTTGAAATCTCACAATTGATGATTGGGTCATTACCAACTAGCAGTCATCGAAAAAAATTGGTTAGTGTCATTTTTCAGATTTTCCTGTTCAGGTTGTTAATGCAGATAAGTATAAAGAAAACAACATGAGGCTTTCTGTTGTTATTTGTTTTATTTAGAAACTGCGCAAATTTCACATCCAATGTAAAATGATGCAACTTGCTCCTTTAAAGGGATGACTAATATATCTTGAACATAAACTTCCCAGAGCCTTCAAGAATTATTCAGTCATGACTTTTCAGTAAGTGAACTGATTTTTGTAAGAATTAAACATGTTTTCAGGCCCTGACAACTTCCAACACGTTCCATTATCAAGTGTTTCAAACACTAAAACAGTAGGTCCAAAATCGTTTGTGTTCGATTAGGAGAAAATGTGATCGATTGCTTGGTCGTTTGGTCACTGCAACCAATCTTCGATTATTTCAATTAATTGGAACACCACTAGTGTGTATTAGGGTCGCAACATATGTAGTATGAGGCAAATATCATACATATCATGATTATTGGGCAACGAATATGTGTATGGAATAACAAATGCCTTGACAAGTCAGCAGTTGATGTATTCAATACATTCACTGAAATAATGATCAAATGTGTATTTGACATGTTTTGACATGATGACTGCATTAACTTTATCATGTCACTGACCAGTGAACACATTACTGTCAAACTGAATATATAAGAGCGGTAGCTATTATCCTACCTTTCTTGGAAACGTTGTGATAAATTACACCAAAACTTAAGTAAAACACTCCATTTATAAAAATTCACAAATATTTGATTGAAGAGATCTTGAATATGGAACAGAATTCATGAAGGGAATATGCGAGTGAAACGTAACAGCTCGTGTGTATATAACAGGCTTCTTCCTTTCCCCATGCTTGTGACTGCCTCCGCGGTGTAGTGGTTAGAGCGTCACCTCCCTATGCTTGTCGTATGAGGCGACTAATGGGACCACTTGGCAGGCTCGCTGACTTGTTGACACATGTCATCGTATACCAATGGTGCAGACCGATGCTCATGCTATTGATCACTATATTGTCGGGCCCAGACTTGAATGTTTACAGACAGCCGCCATATAGCTGGAATATTGTTGAGTGAGGCATTAAACAACTACCCTACCCAACGCAACCCAATCTTCTCCCCAATGTGAGATACTGGCAACCTTCACAAAGTAACTCAGCACATTACATCCACTGGGGTTTCTTCAGACACACAGATATTAACAACATTAAACCACTTTAGTCTTCCCTGCTACTGTCAACTGGCACGGCCAACTTAAGTCAAGTTCTTCATGATTAGCGTTCAGTGGAAAGTCAGAATATTGTTGTGTATCAACTGTTTGTCCTGTGAATATTAATAAGATATGCTGATGGTAGCATAGCTGACAGTATGCATATCATTCAATTGTTTCCTCAGGCAAATTTCAAACCTCAAGTTTCTGGACATTTGACTACATCCCTTTGGTGTGAGTTGCGACAAGCAGGAAAATGGCCAGCTTTGTTGGCAATACTCTATTCATATGTATTACATTGATTGATGTAGTTATGAATACTGAGGGGCGGTTGGGTACCCTAGTGGTTAAAGCGTTGGCTCGTCACGCCGAAGACCCGGGTTCGAATCCCCACATGGGTACAATGAGTGAAGCCCATTTCTGGTGTCCCCCGCCGTGATATAGCTGGAATATTGCTAAAAGTGGCGTAAAACAAACGCTTCTGGGACAAATGTCACGATCTAGGCAAATCCGCAGCAAACTGATCTGCAGAATATTTAATATTTGGGTCCTGCTTTCTTCTTACAAAATACCAAGACTGTGATGTAACTGAAATGCTGGTCAAATTATAGAAACATTCCTAAGGGGAGCTTAATCAGTGAAACCAAGTGTATTTTGTTCTGTAATATTGCTTATTCACCACCCACTCTCTCCCTCTGCGGGGGCGGTGGGGTAGCCTAGTGGTTAAAGCGATCGCTCGTCACACTGAAGACCCAGGTTTTGATTCCCCACATGGGTACAATGGGTGAAGCCCATTTCTGTTGTCCCCCGCCATGATATTGCTGGAATATTGCTAAAAGCAGCGTAAAACCAAACTCAGTCAGTCAGTCAGTCAGTATGAATACTGAAAGTTGGTTAAATACTATCGCAGTACTGTTGCAGTAGTTGAGATCTAGGTGACAACTGCTGTGATAGTGTGGTTAACTGTTACACTACATAACACCACTGTAACGTCACTATAACACCACTGAAATATGTCTCTGTATTCTCTCCTAGCATTGAGGCCCTGACAGTTAGGTTCCCGGTTGTTTTACATGGGTAGAAACAATGTTCTGGATGGCACAAAGTGTCAGATCTTGCTGGTAAACTTCACAATGCTATTTGCAATTTTCTAATAATCGTCATTGTTTTCATTGCAGCTTGTTATGGAATACTGCCTTGGATCCGCATCAGACATTATAGAAGGTATGTTACAAGTGTCAAGATGCTTGTCTTGCACTCCTGGCTGGATCTAGATACAATGTGTAATCATGATACAATGTGTAGTCATAATACAATGTGTAATCTTGATACAATTGTGTAGTCATGATACAATGTGTGGTCATAATACATTGTGTAGTCATGATACATTGTGTAATCATGATACAATGTGTAGTCATAATACATTGTGTAATCATGATACATTGGGTAATCATGATACAATGTGTAGTCACAATACAATGTGTAATCATGATACAATGTGTAGTCATAATACAGTGTGTAATCATGATACAATGTGTAGTCATAATACATTGTGTAATCATGATACAATGTGTAGTCATAATACAATGTGTAGTCATAACACAATGTGTAATCATAACACAATGTGTAGTCATAATACATTGTGTAATCATGATACAATGTGTAGTCATGATACAATGTGTAGTCATAATACAATGTGTAGTCATAATACAATGTGTAGTCATGATACAATGTGTAGTCATAATACAGTGTGTAATCATGATGCAATGTGTAGTCATAATACATTGTGTAATCACGATACAATGTGTAGTCATGATACAATGTGTAGTCATAATACAATGTGTAATCATGATACAATGTGTAGTCATAATACATTGTGTAATCATGATACAATGTGTAGTCATGATACAATGTGTAGTCATGATACAATGTGTAATCATAATACAGTGTGTAATCATGATACAATGTGTAGTCATAATACATTGTGTAGTCATAATACAGTGTGTAATCATGATACAATATGTAGTCATAATACAATGTGTAATCATGATACAATGTGTAATCATAATACATTGTGTAATCACGATACAATGTGTAGTCATGATACAATGTGTAGTCATGATACAATGTGTAGTCATAATACAGTGTGTAATCATGATACAATATGTAGTCATAATACAATGTGTAATCATGATACAATGTGTAGTCATGATACAATGTGTAGTCATAATACAGTGTGTAATCATGATACAATGTGTAGTCATAATACAACGTGTAATCATAATACAATGTGTAGTCATAATACAATGTGTAGTCATGATACAATGTGTAGTCATAATACAGTGTGTAATCATGATATAATATGTAGTCATAATACAATGTGTAATCATAATACAATGTGTAGTCATAATACAATGTGTAGTCATAATACAGTGTGTAATCATGATACAATATGTAGTCATAATACAATGTGTAATCATAATACAATGTGTAGTCATGATACAATGTGTAGTCATAATACAGTGTGTAATCATGATACAATGTGTAATCATAATACAACGTGTAATCATGATACAATGTGTAGTCATAATACAATGTGTAGTCATAATACAATGTGTAGTCATAATACAGTGTGTAATCATGATACAATGTGTAGTCATAATACAACGTGTAATCATTATACAATGTGTAGTCATAATACAATGTGTAGTCATGATACAATGTGTAGTCATAATACAGTGTGTAATCATGATACAATATGTAGTCATAATACGTGTAATCATAATACAATGTGTAGTCATAATACAATGTGTAGTCATGATACAATGTGTAATCATAATACAGTGTGTAATCATGATACAATGTGTAGTCATAATACATTGTGTAGTCATAATACAGTGTGTAATCATGATACAATATGTAGTCATAATACAATGTGTAATCATGATACAATGTGTAATCATAATACATTGTGTAATCACGATACAATGTGTAGTCATGATACAATGTGTAGTCATAATACAGTGTGTAATCATGATACAATATGTAGTCATAATACAATGTGTAATCATGATACAATGTGTAATCATAATACATTGTGTAATCACGATACAATGTGTAGTCATGATACAATGTGTAGTCATAATACAATGTGTAATCATGATACAATGTGTAGTCATGATACAATGTGTAGTCATAATACATTGTGTAATCATAACACAATGTGTAGTCATAATACAGTGTGTAATCATGATACAATGTGTAGTCATGATACAATGTGTAGTCATAATACATTGTGTAATCATAATACATTGTGTAATCATGATACAATGTGTAGTCATGATACAATGTGTAGTCATAATACAGTGTGTAATCATGATACAATGTGTAGTCATAATACAAAGTGTAATCATGATACGATGTATAGTCATAATACATTGTGTAATCACGATACAATGTGTAGTCATGATACAATGTGTAGTCATAATACAATGTGTAATCATGATACAATGTGTAATCATGATACAATGTGTAATCATGATACAATGTGTAATCATGATACAATGTGTAATCATGATACAATGTGTAGTCATAATACAATGTGTAATCATAATACATTGTGTAATCATGATACAATGTGTAGTCATGATACAATGTGTAGTCATAATACAGTGTGTAATCATGATACAATGTGTAGTCATAATACAACGTGTAATCATGATACGATGTATAGTCATAATACATTGTGTAATCACGATACAATGTGTAGTCATGATACAACGTGTAGTCATAATACAATGTGTAGTCATAACACAATGTGTAATCATGATACAATGTGTAATCATGATACAATGTGTAATCATGATACAATGTGTAATCATGATACAATGTGTAGTCATGATACAATGTGTAGTCATAGTACAATGTGTAGTCATAACAATGTATAATCATGATACAATGTGTAATCATGATACAATGTGTAGTCATAATACATTGTGTAATCATGATACAATGTGTAGTCATAATACATTGGGTAATCATGATACAATGTGTCGTCATAATACAATGTGTAATCATGATACAATGTGTAGTCATGATACAATGTGTAGTCATAATACAATGTGTAGTCATAACACAATGTGTAATCATGATACAATGTGTAATCACGATACATTGTGTAGTCATAACACAATGTGTAGTCATAACACAATGTATAATCATGATACAATGTGTAATCATGATATGATGTGTAATCATGATACAATGTGTAGTCATGATACATTGTGTAATCATGATACAATGTGTAATCATGATACAATGTGTAATCATGATACGATGTGTAATCATGATACAATGTGTAATCATGATACAATGTGTAATCATGATACATTGTGTAATCATGATGCAATGTGTAATCATGATACGTGTAATCATAACACAATGTGTAATCATGATACAATGTGTAATCATGATACAATGTGTAGTCATAATACATTGTATAATCATGATACAATGTGTAATCATGATACAATGTGTAGTCATAATGCATTGTGTAATCATGATACAATGTGTAATCATACAATGTGTAATCATGATACAATGTGTAGTCATAATACACTGTGTAATCATGATACAATGTGTGTAATCATGATACATTGTGTAATCACGATACAATGTGTATTCATAATACAATTTGTAATCATGATACAATGTGTAGTCATAATACAATTTGTAATCATGAATACATAGTGTAATGGCAAAAGTGTCAGTCGATAGGAAACTATGGAAGTAGTAATTCACAATGGCCTCTTATTGCTTTCTAGTTTTAAAGATGCCATTGAAGGAGCTGGAAATAGCGGCAATTTGTCACGACGCCCTGCAGGGTCTCACCTACCTCCACAGCCAGGACAAGATTCACCGAGATGTCAAGGCAGGCAACATTCTACTCACTGAAAATGGCACCGTCAAACTGGGTGAGTCTTGTGGGAAGTTTTCAATCCAGAACCAGATTATTTGTGGGATGAGTTCTGATTGATGGCAGTTAATTCTTATTTATTGTCACACAAGACATTCAGTTATTCAGTGTGGTAACTTATGACAATTTGACTGTTTCAGCTGACTTTGGTTCCGCATCTCTATGTTGTCCTGCCAACTCATTTGTGGGGACTCCATATTGGATGGCTCCTGAAGTGATCCTTGCCATGGATGAAGGACAGTACAATGGGAAGGCAGATATATGGTCATTAGGAATAACTTGTATAGAACTGGGTGAGTGTAGGAGATGTGGTCATTAGGAATAACTTGTATAGAACTGGGTGAGTGTTGGGAGATATGGTCATTAGGAATAACTTGTATAGAACTGGGTGAGTGTGAGAGATATGGTCATTAGGAATAACTTGTATAGAACTGGGTGAGTGTGAGAGATATGGTCATTAGGAATAACTTGTGTAGAACTGGGTGAGTGTTGGAGATATGGTCATTAGGAATAACTTGTATAGAACTGGGTGAGTGTTGGAGATGTGGTCATTAGGAATAACTTGTATAGAACTGGGTGAGTGTTAGAGATGTGGTCATTAGGAATAACTTGTATAGAACTGGGTGAGTGTTGGAGATATGGTCATTAGGAATAGCTTGTATAGAACTGGGTGAGTGTGAGAGATATGTTCATTAGGAATAACTTGTATAGAACTGGGTGAGTGTGAGAGATGTGGTATTTTAGAATAAGTTGTATAGAGGTGGGTGAGTGTAAGAGATGTCTTTTAGAATAACTTGTATAGAATTGGGTCAGACTGTTCATCAATAACTTGTAGGGTACTGGGTGAGTGTTAGAGATGTCTTTAGGAATAACTTGTTTAGAAGTGGGTGAGTGTAAGAGATGTCTTTTAGAATAACTTGTATAGTGAGTGAGTGAGTCGAGATGTCTTTTAGAATAACTTGTATAGAACTGGGCAAGGTTATGAGAGATATGGAGACAGTTTATTGAGCTGAGAGGTTTATAAAAAGAATTCCACCTAGGTACCAGTTTCTCATAGAAATACAGTCATTTGAAACGAACCCTGTACTGTAGCATCAAGTGTCTATGTTTGTGTTTCAGCTGAGAGGAAGCCACCTCTGTTCAATATGAATGCTATGAGTGCTCTCTACCACATAGCTCAAAACGACTCCCCATCTCTATCAGCTGGAGAGTGGTCGGATGACTTCAGAAACTTTGTCGACGCATGTCTAGCAAAAGACCCAGAAAACAGACCATCAGCAGCAGAATTATTACAAGTGAGTGGACGCAGACACTGCTGCACTGTCCTTCCAGAGGTTGATGTGTTGTGGTTATAACATTTCATTCCCCAGTTTATTAGTCGTTCCTTAAACTGCTGGTTTTGTGTTCAAATCCCAGTGACCACCTCCGTGGTGTAGTGGTTAGAGTGTCCGCCCGGAGAGCGGAAGGTCGCGGGTTCGATCCCCGACCACGTCATACCAAAAGACGTTAAAATATGGTTTCTAGTTGGTCCCTGCCTGGCGCTCGGCATTAATGGGTACAACAAGGACTGGTCAGCTTAGAGTCAGTATAATGTGTCTGAGTGGGGTAGTCATGCTTCACTGCGGCATGGTATCTCAGTGGTCTAGCACTATAAAACCAGCTTAAGTCTGGGCTAGTACAAGCAGCCGCACATACACACATATGCACGTCGTCATATGAGCAAAATATTCTCAAGCGCGACGTTAAACCCAATTTCACCTTACCTCACCTCAAATCCCAGTTTCTACCTTACTTTTTAACCTGCTTTGTTAGAACCATGGCTATGTTTATTCAACAACCTTACTCAATCTTCATAATGACCAATAATATGGGCTGCTGCTTCATACCCTCAGGATTTTCGAGGACTCTGTGAAGATCTGGGTTAGAATTGATCTTCAGCAAGCCATGCTTGTTGTAAGAGACGACAAACAGGATTGGATGGTCATGCTCGCTGAATTGATTTACACATTTCATTGTATCAGTTTTGTAGGTAGATGCTCATGATGTTGATCACTGGATTGTCTGGTCCAGACTCGATTATTTACAGAGCACCCGCCGCCATATGGCGGTAATATATTGCTGAGTGCAATGTTAAATAAACAAACAGTGTCAAACAACTCAAGCCTTTCATCATCAGTAAGAATATGTTGCCAGCAGCCAAGTTCAGCTTCTGTTACGAAAATAGATATTATGTAATGCAGAGTTTTGGATTCATTTTGAAATATTTCACAAAACTGCAGGAAATGGTAGTACTAGTTCTAGGTTGTAGTCCTGATAATCGGCCTGATTTTTGCAGAACCAGTTTTTAACACGTATTCGACCACCCGATGTGATCCTGGAGCTGATTCAGAGAACGAAGAATAAAGTGCGAGAGTTAGACATGTCTCAGTACCGTCGCATGAAGAAACTGATCATAGACAATGACGAGGGCAGCACAGAGCGGTCACCTGCCCCATCCTCCACTGATGGGGGAGAGGAAGATTCTCAGGTAAGATTCCACAACTCGTTCTTTACCCAAATCCTACTTTCGTCAACTTCAATTTGATTTTAGAATATGAATTAAACACCAGTTATGTAGAGTATTTTGAATGTTCTAATGCACAAAGTTTCCAATCTTATCATACAAGTGAAATTAATTGCAAATGGACACTAACTGTGGAGTTGCAATTGTTTGATAGTTTTCTGTATTGGAACAAGATGGAAGGGCCCGAAGTGTACTCCATTTTCAAAAGTAGATCGTAGTAAATGTATTTTACAATGTTTCATTTTTTGGCCATAAAATTTTGCACCGGCAGCCTTTGAACCTTAAGTGTAAGCATCATGTTCTGACGGACATCTAGCTGATATGTTGATGATTTGGGGGCGGTGGGGTAGCCTAATGGTTAAAGCGTTGGCTCGTCACGCCGAAGACCCGGGTTCGAATCCCCACATGGGTACAATGTGTGAAGCCCATTTCTGCTGTCCCCCGCCGTGATGTCGCTGGAATATTGCTAAAAGCAGCGTAAAACCAAACTCAGTCAGTCAGTGTTGATGATTGGTGTAAAAACAACATGCAGTCGGTTATGTTTTGACATGTCACAGGATGACGACAACTTGGATGGCAGTCGGTCTGACAGCCTGCAGAGTCACAACAGCAACTGCGCCAGTAGCCACAGCAGCATCGCCAGTATAGGAGCCAACATCAGCGATCTGAACGCCATCCACTCCTTCTCTACCCGCGATCGGAGTGTAAGTCTCACCATAAAATATCAGATTAACAACAGCTTCGTTTCTTGAATGACCTTTTGAAACAGAGCTATATGCGTTAGAAAATATTTAAATTTTTCTTCCAGATCTGGAGATATTTTCATTACAATGGGTTTTTTCAGCGTCACAGATTCCAAGGATTGTTGTGACATTTTGTTTATGAATTGGGAACGGAAAGGAAACTATGAGAAATTGTTCTATTTGCCTGCTATAACACAACATATTGTTGATGTTGAAGAAACATTTATGAGTTTATTTAAGTAATTATTAAGTGAATATTATTTTTCAGGATTCTTCATGAGCATAGGATTGTGTTGACTTTTTGTGGAAGGTGTTACATTGTCAGTTGTCTGTTGGGTTCTTGTCTTTGTCAGATGACAGGATAATGTATCTGTACATGGTTCATCACTGTCAACTTTTCCATCTTTCCTTCTTATTGTAATGGGAGACGGGTCGGTGGGGTAGCCTCGTGGTTAAAACGTTCGCTCGTCACGCCAAAGGCACGGGTTCGAATCCCCACATGGGTACATTGTGTGAAGCTCATTTCTGGTGTCCCCTGCCGTGATGTTGCTGGCATATTACTAAAAGCAGCATAAAACCCAACTCACTCACTCACTAATAGGAGATGTTCTTGGCCAGTTTGATTGCAGGCAGGCTTGTTTCAGTTTTAAAGTCTTCACTGAAGCTGTTTTCATCAGCTGTTCATACATTTAGTCTTCTACACTGGAATGATTTCAACATATCTTCTATGTTATGATATGATGTATGATTTCCTTAGTCAATCTACCCGTGAAGATCCCCCGGGTTCGAATGAGCCTTCAGTAACCCATGCTTGTCGTAAGAGGCGACTCACAGGTTCGGGTGGTCAGACTCGCTGACTTGGTTGACACATTCATCAGACACCAGTTGCGCAGATCGATGCTCATGCTGTTGATCACTGGATTGTCTGGTCCAGACTCGATTATTTACAGACCGCAAAACTAAACTCACTCACTCACTCACTCACCTTAGTCAATCTAAGATGTGGTTGTAAATAATCAAGATAATTTGCATTAACTTATTTTGTTTGTTCAGGGTATCAATTTTCCTTAACCTTTCAAGTTTAAAGAATAATTGACATTAGATTGGGGAGAAAGATAGGCGCTTTTCCTTTTTTCATTTAGCTATATTCACTACAGTCACTTGAGGCCTTAGGACAGATAATCATTTAATTTCATGAAAATTTTCAAAACATGACGATATAAGTTTCACAGGATGGAATAGAAGCCCTTCAGTTATTTTTACTTGAAACAGCTTGTGTCAGTTATCCTAGACAGTAGTCAGGAAGCTCCAACTTAAATTTGAGTCCCATGACATTCACCTTGAACCCATTCTTCTTGGTTCTTTACCTTGAGGGGCAGTGGGGTAGCCTAATGGTTAAAGCGTTGGCTCGTCACGTCGAAGACCCGGGTTCGAATCCCCACATGGGTACAATGTGTGAAGCCCATTTCTGGTGTCCCCCGCCGTGATGTTGCTGGAATATTGCTAAAAGCGGTGTAAAACCAAACTCAGTCAGTCAGTCTTTACCTTGATGTCATTGAAAACTTTCTTACTCTGATTCAGCTTGATTTTCATTTATCATAGTGTGTGCCTGATTTAAGGTACTTCATTCTATTGTGCTAAGTGGTATTAATTATGTCTGGATTGTGGTTGCCTTATTCCTGTGGGCTCCACAGACACAGACAGAAATGGAAATGAAAATTTTTAAACTTAAGTCATAGCTGTCCCTAGTGGGACATGCACAGTTGGTAATAAGGGTTCCACCGTACAGATGTAACCAGAATTAATTGTGCTGCTTGTATCTTCAGCCTCCCCCCACCGTACAAGTTGAGACACAGGTAACTATAGCATGGCCATCACTCTGCATGCTGCCCTTATCGTACCAGTCTCACCCTGTGGGCGTTCCCCCGCCATGTGGCTCCAACATATGTACCCGATATACAGTATGTCGCATACTCCTATTGTCCCTCAAGTTATGTGTATGTACACGTGGAAAGGTTTACCCAAGCGAATTGTTTGGGTGTTCTCATAGGTATCTGTTAGGCTTCAGGTCGTCAACAGATGTCGACAAGATCAATAAGTATTCTAATTCTTTGATACCTATAATTAATGTTCCTCACAGTTCATGTTTTAGAAAGCATTTAAAAACAATCTAACGTCTGGACCAAATATATTTTGGATCAGAGATGCTTAGTTTCAGAGCTGCATCAATCCTTAAGAGCACTAGCCTTGTTTCACATACTTTTGTGAACATTTCAAAATGTATAAAACACTAGACGAGCTGAAAGCTTGTTTAGATTGGTGTGATCAGGAATGTTGTGCACTCCAAAGAGATATCCATATTAATCATCATGGAATATTATATTGTTACGACTTGATGGCTCGATGGCATGGATTGTTGCGTAAGATCCATCACTGGATTGCTTGGTCCAGGCCTATTTTCAGTCCTGAGTTAGCAGAGGTTAATTTTAAGCTTAAAATATAAGAACAACCCACTGTAGTACAGCTGAGTTATGGTCTTGCACAGACAGACATGAGAATTTTCCGTGGATCTGCGGATTTCTGGGATTTTTGTTCATTTTGAACGTTTTTGAGATCAATGTAAATCTGCAGTAAATGACCCCCACAAGACCCCTGGCTAAATTTTCAGTGTCTTTTTTTTTGTGCTTTGCCATTCTCATGTCTGACACTACAGCATGAATCAGAATGGTAAAAATAATTGATGAAAAGTCTTGTCATTTGGACAACTAGCCATGAAATGTTCATAAACGTGTGACCAACCTAATATTTAATGTGGCGTTGGCAACATTTCAGTCCCAAGTGTTCACAAATGGACGTGATTAAAGTGGGGTTGTGTATTCGAAGTGAAGCTGTACCTTTTACATGTTTATACATAACTATGCAAGCGCTGATCTGTCATGTGACGTGCCACGTGACCTGTCATGTGGCTAGTATAAAGGTTTTGAAAACTCATACAGGATATAACATACACCCAAGTAAAAATTGTTACTTTACAAATATTGACATTCAAAAAGTCATGCTGCATGAACTTGATTCGAAATGAATGAGCTGCTTAACTACATTATTTGACAATATTCGGCAGAGCATTTGAATTAAGCCTTTTTTTGTTTTCTCTGCAATCATCTGCATGTTGTCAAAGTCCAGTGTAGTTATGTTTGATGCTTAAGTGTTAAACTTGCAATACCATAATCATCTGGAGCATTTTGCCAAAAGCATTCTTTGGTGTGTGTACTGTTATGAAAACAGGAACCATCTAAACATCCAAGCGTCCAAACCTAATTTACTCTGTTTAGAATAGTGTTTGTCCTTAAACATTGCTAAACATGATGGACAGGAGAAGTCCTATTCTTGCAAGGTTTGCATCTGCCAATAGACGAGATGTTGCTGCCTCGGTTAAACATTCATTCACTCCCTTGCCAGTAATATCTGGAAATAATATGAATGAATGATAAACCATGGTTTTGAAAGATATGCTATGTGGGTCAGATTGCCTTTGTTAATTTGACTAATTATAGATATCCCAAGGTACCACTTATTAAAGTTAACAGTGTTGATTTCCTTGTCAAACTGCCTGTTAAGTATGTTTTCCTGTTTGTATTGATAAAATGTTTACCATAGTTGTCCTGTGTCTGAAAGTTATTTTAAGAATTTAATTATTACATTTTATATGTGTGATATCGACATACATGAGATATAATGTCCCATTTTACATTTGGAAACTTTCTGTCTTTTTGGCCTTTGAATGGAAAACAGTTACTAAGTAAATTAACCTAGTGCATTAGGCAAAATATACAATAACACATTATAATGGATTACAATCATTCTGATTTGAAATAAAACTATATGTATCAAATTTAGATTTCTTTCACTGTTCAACAACTGTATAATCAGGGATCTATCTAGAACTTTCACTATATATTTGACTCTAAGTAAATAATGTATTGGAATAAATGATTTCCCAAATCATGTTATAGTCACAGCTAATTATTATAGTAACAACTTTGCAGAAATGAGTTGTGTGTTGCTGATACTAGAATAAGGATGAGGCTTTAATGCAAATTAAATATTTTAGCATTGAAGAAGATGTTTAGGAATATCTCTGAAATTAAGATATCAAGATCTTCAGACAAATTCCTAATTTGAACAAAGTAACATTCAAAGTAGTATTCTTCCCATTTGGTTTGCCAAGGGCACTTAATTTGGAATCCCAGATAAATCCCTGATTATATCTAAATTCCTTTAGTGGTACTAAAATACTGATAACTGCTTGTTGAAGAAATTAAAATGCTGGTAACGTTAATTATTGTAACAGTAGTCTCCGATGCCGTAACGCTGTTTGAGTTTCCACAATAATTCACTGCTTCTGTCATGTATTTGGTTCCCCTACTGATGAATGAATCCAGCCTCTGCTCGGCCGCTCATCACTGTGTTGACATCATGTGTGTGTGTGTCCTTTATTTTGTCGTTGACTCACATTATGCCCTCCCCTGCTTCCTTATTAGGGTAATGTGCCAAATACTGACCAGTTCCCTTCACATGTGAAGACATGGTCATGGTTTTCACGGAGCGGTTCGTACAGTCCAAACTCACCAAAGGTAGGCCAGTTTGTGGGAATGAGATGTGGCCGTTATGGCTTCAGTCTTTCACTGTGGCTGACGTCTTGTCGTGGGTCGCCTGTTTCACGAGGGTTCCATTATAGATGCGTCTTTAGATTCAGTTTTCCTTTTTTTGCTTGATTTGGTTTCATCTCTGATATATATAAGTGTTGTGGACTTACTTTCCGATTATTTAGTTAACATAGCTGCTATGCATGGATGATATGCCATTTTTGTTTTGCAATATTTGCACGTACCACAATTTACACTGCACAAGCCATGGGGAGTTTTTTCTTCATTTTCTCTGATGATGATCAGGTCACCTTGGGAAGCACTGGTACTTATGTACGGTCCACTTGTGTGTTATTCAGTGTGAAGAATTTGTCAATTTTGACATTTTCTAGTTTTCAGCCAGTTTTAACAGAATTCGATCTCTCAGCGTATGTGCAGTTACAATTGTGATTACTATATTGGTATAACCTAACCTGATTGCTTCCATGTATCTTGTCATAACATACACAGTATCAGTATATAATGTATGCATGTTACCTTCTACCTGTTTACCCGAATACAGTATATGAACTGGATGGATACTCTTCCTATGTATATATATATCCTGAGGTACCATGTAGCCATGGTAACAGTGGCATGTGCATGCTCGCTGTATGATAATCAACAGGTATTGTTCAGGTAAATTAACACTTTGGGGATTCTGGGGCTGCAACTCCCAGTACTAAATGCTTTTATCACTGAAACGAGGACTGGATATGATGGGTATCAAATTAAACATGTGATAACATACATTTGTAAATTTAGTTCTAAACCATAGTGTAGGTTTTTAATTTTTCAAATCAGATACGCTTAACCTTATAAATTGAACATATTCCATTCTACCTTGAAACTCTAAAATTTGTGGTATGTTGAATGATCAAATTTAGTGATTAGTGGTCGTTGATTGTATTCTGCTTGTGTTTGCTTTCATATACTCAATCTATATTTAACTGACAGTACTTTAATCACTTAGATAATAAATCATCTACCTACCAAGCATTTATCAATTCATCTTTCCATGAATATATGAAACGATCTCTCTATCATGATTGTGTTCCCACTTGATTGACATGGTGTCCAGTGTGGAACAATGTAGTGTCAGATGTCAAGGTGTTCTGATGTAAGGGAATGTTAAAATACTGTTCACCCAGCCGAAAATGGGTACCCGGTGGGATCAGTCATATGACTTGACCTTGTGCCTGACAGGCAGCTAGGGTTATCTGGGGTAATAATGTCTATTATTTGTATGTGCTTAGAGCATGCTCATGCTGTGTAGAGTTCAGCGCTATATAAGTGATATCATTACTTTGTCCTGGACATTTTTCTGTTACACTTACAATAATCAAGAAACAACCTGCAGGTGTTGTCCACAGAATCAGTACTTGACTACTTGTCAGTAGTGAGACAGAACTGCTTTTGAAACATTTGCTATTGTGTTGATGTGGACATTAGGTAGATAATGATTCATTTCATTGTCAGACCAACTGGAGTGCAGGATTCTAAAATGTAATTGTAGAATATGGTTTTGGTGGTCCCAGACCTGAATGACTACTAGCCCTGTGGTCTTGGGTGCTGACATGATTCATTTGATCCTTAGATGTTGGAGGCTGTTGTTCCCATTGGCCACCATTATGATCCAAAGTTTACCTATACAAGTTTCAGCTAAGTGGTACATGTTTTCATCCTGTTGGTCCCTACTTAGAGATAAATTACTATTATTGTAAAGTAACTGATTACTTCAGACTGTTTTAATGTATAATTAGTGTACAATAATTTTAACTGGATTTTAGAAAACTAAAAAGATTAATTACTTTATCACTTAATCATCTGAAGTACAACTTTGAGGTTAGAGCCTAGAAAAGGGATGACAACTGGCTGTTCACAACAAACGACAATGAAGGTTTATGTTACAGTATGAGTACATGAGTATATGAAAAGATTTTGCCCAAATTTCTTGTATGTGCATGATCTGTGTTTAATTGCTATGTCTGCATGATCTTTTATTTAATTCAAAATTACAGTTAACCTTTCTGCACTTAAACGATAATTAAAACATAATTTTCTAAGAAGTAAGTTTGTCCTCAGTTCCTGCGATATGGATTGTTGTTGCTTTTGTTGGAACATAAGCTTTGTTTTGTCAGAGAATAGATTTTGTTCAGAAAAATAAACACCATTATTAAAAAATGAAAATAATAATTGGTTTGATTTGGACAGGTCTGTGCATCCACTAAGTCTTGACTTCTGTTCACAGAGTTTTTGTGTAACTGATGAGGCACAGAATATACCACTTCAGGTTGTCTTAATCACAGACTTGTCTCCATTTCTGGCATAGATCTTGACACTGTTATTAGAACTTTGCCTTGACAAATAAAGTGTTTGTTATGATTATGATAGGCTTTACCGTTGGCGGTGCATAATTGTGTCCCCTTTAGGCTGAATACAGCTTTTAGGGGTTGGATGCCAGGTTTATGATCTATGGTATATCAATACTGTACCCATGTGGATTTCGCTGATCGTTTTGCATCACTATTGGCTCTCTTCCAACTATGCTTTCAAGCCACGATATACCGGTAACTGGGGTGTATTCACAAGCTGATGTCTGTGTTCCTGATTACATATTGAATCTGTTCAACAAGTGAAGGATGCATATGTGTGTCTTTGCAGCCGTCAGCAAGTAGCGCTCGAGGTATGGAGTTGTACCAACACAACTTTGCCACCATTCGGACACCGTCCATCGTAAGGAAGGAGATTAAGGACCACGAACACAGTAATGAGCTCCGGGAACAGTTTACGGGTTACAAGAGCTTGCGGAAACAACATCAAAAGGAGCTGATACAGGTACCCTTACCGTCATAATAACATGGCTTCTGGGACAAATGTCACGATCTGGGCAAATCCGCAGCAAACTGATCTGCAGAATATTTAATATTTGGGTCCTGCTTTCTTCTTACAAAATACCAAGACTGTGATGTAACTGAAATGCTGGTCAAATTATAGAAACATTCCTAAGGGGAGCTTAATCAGTGGAACCAAGTGTATTTTGTTCTGTAATATTGCTTATTCACCACCCACTCTCTCCCTCAGCGGGGGTGGTGGGGTAGCCTAGTGGTTAAAGCGTTCGCTCCTCACACTGAAGACCCGGGTTTTGATTCCCCACATGGGTACAATGTGTTAAGCCCATTTCTGGTGTCCCCTGCCGTGATATTGCTGGAATATTGCTAAAAGCGGCGGTAAAACCCCACTCACTCACTCACTCACTCTCCCTCTGCAGTTGGAGTCCCGGTTCAAGGCTGAAATGGAAGAACACAAACAGAAGCTGGACAGGGAGTATGAAAACTTGCGGCAGAAGTTCTCAAAAGAAATGGAAAAACTCAGGGTTCAACATGCATCTGAGCTGGACCGAGGGGTGAGTCTTTACTACAGAAACTGAGGTGATATTTAACAATGTATAAAAACTGTGCAGTTTTGCTAAATCTCAACCTGACTCTGTTCCTTTTCGAAAGTCTTCATGTTAAGATAATGAACAGGCAGGTAGTTTCTAAATTGTAACCATTTTATTATCATTGTCCCGGAAACTCTCGGTGCTTCACAGTTTTCTGTTCATGGTTGTGTCCTTGAATACACCAGGAACCTGTGATAGTGGGTTCAAATCTCATTCTGACATGTTTGTGTTGACATGATTGTCACCATTGTAGAGAATGTCCGAGATATTGAAACGTAGCACTCACGAAATAAAAAGAAGTTGTTATCCATAAAGTTTGATCAATATTGTACTTCCCAACTTCTAAAATGCTAATCAAAGAAGTTATATGTCCGAGATGTCACTTGTGGCTCTGTCCCACACTAAGCTGACATGCGATATTCAAAGGGGTGTTAAACCAAACTTGGTCACTCTCCCATGGTATTGAAGTTGAATCTGAAAGGTATTTAAAAGGTCATCTATTGGAACAAAAAATATTATGATTATGTCATCAAGGTAATGCCATTCAACTTTGGGGGAGGTGGGGTAGCCTAGTGGTCAAGGCATTCTCTCGTCATGCTGAAGACCCGGGTTCAATTCCCCACGTGGGTCCAATGTGTGAAGCCCATTTCTGGTGTCCCCCGCCGTGATGTTGCTGGAATATTGCTAAAAGCTGCGTAAAATTACCCTCACTCACCATTCAACTTTCTACATTTCAAGTCCATTGACAGTTGAGTCAGCTGTTACTGCCCCTTTTCTGAGAGATCAATGGTAGTTGCCTTTACCTGTTACAGCAAAGGAACAACCAAGCTCAGGAGAGGAAGATGAGGAAGGACATGAACCAGGCTCACGACAGCGAAAGAAGGAACTTCAGCGTGCTGATGAAGAAGAACTATAAAACAGATAAGGAGAGGAAGAAGAAGGTGAGTTAAGGATCTCCTTCTGTATTGTATGTGTTCTGTGTACGCACTGTCAGGGCTCCAGATAACTTTTGGGGGTGTGAGTGTACTTACACATCTTATTGTAAGTGGAGGTGTACTGAGAATTTTGAAGGAGTACTGACAAGTTTTTGTGTGAGCGAGTTGATGTGGTTTGTCTGGACGATTCATCGATCACTGTTTCCAACCATGTATTTGTATTTAAGACGCGTGAGAAATAACTGAGCGACTGTGTGATGGGCTAAATGTCAGGTCCGACTGGATATAAATAGGAACAGTGTAGTTTTTAGCCAATCGAAAAATAGTGACACATATCGTTGCATTGCAACGCAAGGGATTCCTACTGTCGGGGTTTCCTTATGTGTCAAATCGTGATTCGCAAAAGAAACTTAACAACAAGTATTTATCCGAAATAGATTTCCATTTGCATGATACGCACGGAAATTAAATGCTAGACGTACAAAGGTATTTATGTGCGTACACGATACGCTTGAAATCTTATATTATGTCGTACTTAATTAATTTTGAGGCGTACATTATGCCTGTAACGCCCCTTATCTGTAGCCCTGCACTGTAACAGTGCCAGTGAAGTATTCCAGTTTAGGCTCATCTTGACCAAAGATCTTGGTCTAGTTCCCTTCATGGGTACAGTGTGTGAAAACCTTTGTTAGAGTAATCATAAGATAAATACAAAAACAACATTCCCTGACATACTACTACTACTACCACAATGTAACATTTTTAACACTCACCTCCCTCTTTTCTCATCTCCTTGCACAGAGTTGTCTACCTTAGATATGTCAGGAGTATGGAAATTCCATAATTGCCCTGATTATGTACCTTGGTCTGTCTGCCTCATACCATCAATGAGGGTTACCTTCAACTAATGTGCTGTTTAAAAACATATATGGGGCAGTGGGGTAGCCTAGTGGTTACAGCATTTGCTTGTCTCACCAAAGACCCGGGTTCGATTCTTCACATGGGTACAATGTGTGAAGCCCATTTCTGATGTCCCCAGCCGTGATATTGCTTGAATATTGCTAAAAGCGACAAAAACCCAACTCACTCACTAAAGAAAACACCCACAAACTCGCTCTGAAGCTAATGTAGTGAGGGAGATGTGTAAACTGGCACTAAGTCCAATGATTTGTGGCAGGATTTGGATGATGCAACACCTAAGAAGGAGCGAGAAGACACAATGAGGAACTACAAGGAGAAGATGTTGCGGCAGCAGAAGGACGCAGAGTTCAAGCTGGAGAAACAACAGAAGGACACAACAGAGTTCCACCTGAGGAAGTTCCGCAGGAAGAAGGTCCTACAGTTCCATCAACTGGAACAGAAGCTCCTGAAGGAGGTGAGCTACAGGACTTTCTGGGGATTCTGAGATCACTAGCACCTTTTTCTGTACATTGCTCAATTCATGTGTTGATTACAACTTCAATGTGATACTTCTCTAGCCCTATTCTGGCTAATGAAAGTGGAAAATTATGTCCAAACCTATAATCTGGAGATTGAATGTTCAAGTTCTCTTTCCGGGCAGTGGGGTAGCCTAGTGGTTAAAGCGTTGGCTCGTCACGCCCAAGAACTGGGTTTGAATCCGCACATGGGTACAATGTGTGAAGCCCATTTCTTGTGTCCTCCGCCGTGATGTTGCTGGAATATTGCTGAAAGCGGCGTAAATCCAAACTCAATCAGTCAGTCAGTCAAGTTCTCATTAATAGTGGGCCATGTTACCCACCCTACTTAGTATGAGTACATTTTTCTTGAAAATGTAAAGTATTTAGACATTACTTGCTTGTCCAGCTTTAATCCCATTCAGAAGTATGATTCTGTAAAACAAAAGGGAAAGGTCTGACTTGGCTAAAAGAAACCTTGAAATAATCAATGCTGGGATGTAAGACACTGATACTTGAACTCCTTAAAATTCATATGATGATTTGGTAGATAATCTTTTTCCGCATTTGCTGTGGATAACTAAACAAATATGTTGTAAATCAGGGGTGGAAATAACCCATTATGTCTGATGACCATGTTTCTCAATGTACCTGTTTCTAGGAGATCGGTCAGCGCCGGGCGCAGCTGGAGTATGAACACACGATGCTTGTGCGGCACCACGAGTCAACGCAGGACCTGGAGTACAAGCATCTGGCGGCCATACAGAAGATGAGGGACGAGCAGCTGCGGAAACAGCATGAAACAGAGCGAGAGAATCAGAAAGAATATACAATTAATGCTGAAGCAGACCTCAGGAAAAAACATGCCTTGGAAGTTAAACAGCAGCCTCGAAGTTTAAAGGTATGCCTTGTGTTGAAAACATGCTAGCAAAATATTGGACTGTAACACAGTAATCTTTGGAATCCTTTCATTTTGGTCAGATTTATTTCCATATTTCTATCTATTTTCTTTGTCCGTAATTCCAAAATGAAAAACAAAATAAAACGAAATCTGATTCTTGATATATTTCTAAAGGCATGGTTTTGATTAAGCACAGCCTTTTGTCAGGTGGAGAGAGTGTTGTCAGCTGGTGTTGGGATTTGATGAGAAAGACAGGTGACTGACATTTTGTGCTCTCCTGTGTGTCACTATAGCCTCTTTCACATGGACACAATTTACTTACATAAGCAATTTACTTACATGAGTAAATATACTCACATAAGTAAAAGTAAATTTACATCATGTTCACATATTGTTTTCGCCAGGTATAAGTAAACATTATCTCGTGATTAGAATAACTAAATTTTCATCATTTTAGACAATGTTGTAGAGTAAGCTGCTTGTGCCAAAACGGAGGAGAGATATCCCATATACTTTGTCAGTATGGGTTTGGCCCTGGGGTTGTGTCGTGAGAGAGAAGCATGGAGTAGAAAACGATCTCGCCATCGGTGTTCTCAAACCATGAAAATGTCCTTTGATGACACACTTTGGATAGAGAATTTTCGCATGACTAGAGAGACATTTTATGTTCTTTTCAATGAACTACAGCCATGTTTTCCCGCAATGGGTGTTTATGTAAGGAAACCTCTGGAACTGGACCATAAGGTGGGCATTGCAGTCGAATGGGTTGCTTGCTCCCTCTGAAGAGTATAGAACTATTGCTAATCTCTTTGGGGTAGGAGTTCCACAGTTCACAAATGTGTACATGGCGTCTGCAAGGCGATATCCGAAAGATTGTTAACAAAATATGTGTTCCCAGAAGGAAATGAACTGAGAAATGTGATTCAGGGTTTTGAAGAGACATGGGATTTCCTAACTGTGCCATTGATGGAACACATATCCCAATCATCGCACCATCCTTGGCACATGGTGACTACCAGGATGGTACTCCATTCTCCTGCAGGCAGTGTGTGATCATGCAAAGTGCATGATGCCAGGGTTTTGGCAACCCAGAGCTGTAATACAAGGGGGAGACAAATAACCTGTTTCCAAAGCGGACAAGGCAGCTGCTACTATGCCACAAGTGCTAATGCCAATCGTGATTGTGGCTGATGCAGCCTATCCATGGCTTGAAACCATGGCTTCTAAAGCCATAAACATATTCTTTGATCTTCATCTCATCTGACATCATTGATCGTTTATTCTTTTTTGGATCTGCAAGTTGTGCCTCAACATTTTTTTCATTCCAATTAGACAAGAGATAATCAGTGTCTTCATCATTCCTCGAAAGTCCATGCGTGGCCCTTTCAACAACAGGATTCTTCTTAAGATGTCTTAAATATGTCATGAAATACTCACCTAAGTAAAGATAAAAAAATTTCACATGACCACAAATACTCCGGGAGTATTAATACTTATCAGTAAATATACTTTTACAAGACCTCTTGGGGTCTAGTAGATATACTTTTACTTAGGTCTGTTTACTCCAGGAGTAAATTTACTCATGTAAGCAAATGCGTTCACATGCCACCCTAAGTAAATTTACTTACATAAGTATGTTATTTTTCCTTATCCTGACTCATGAAATTATAAGGAGAGAGTGACAAGTCTGGGCACGTCACATGGTACGTTTGCGCGGGAAAGAGGAAGGGAGGTAACTCGTGGGTGAGTATTGTATGTCCGCTTCGGGAACTTCAAGGGATTCAAGTGTTCCACTACCATTCGAAAGGGAAAGGGAGATAAGAAAAGATCATGAGTCAGGATAAGTATAAAATATCAATTTTACTTACAAAATTACATTACTCACATAAGTAAATGTATCCATGTGAAAGGGGCTTTTGTCATACGTAGATGTTTCTGCTTCAGCAAAAAGTGGTGTTAATACGGCGGCAGTTTGACGATGCGGTGAAAACCCAGCAGCGGCAGTACAAGGCCCTGAAGGAACACATCCTCCAGAACACTCCCAAAGCAGAACAGAAGGCAGTGGTGAAGAAGCTAAAGGATGAACAGATGAGGAAGCTGGCCCAGCTCGGGGATCAGTATGAGGCCAGCATCGCAGACATGTTGCAGCAACAGAACGTGAGTCACACATAAAGGGTGTACAGAGTTAGGTACTTCAATGTGCAGGGACAAGATATATAACCTTGTTTATTAGACAGGTGCGCCTTGATGAGTCACAGGTAGCTCAGGCCCATGACTGATGTGTATGTTCTATGACCTTGTTTATACGACAGGTGCGTCTTGACGAGTCGCAGGTAGCTCAGGCCCATGAGCTGAAGCAAAGGCTACAACAGGAGCTGGAGTTGCTGATGGCCTACCAAAGTAAGATCCGCATGCAGACTGAGGCACAACATCAGCGGGAGAAGAAACAGTTGGAAGAACGTGTGTCCCTCAGGAGGGCACTGCTGGAACAGAAGGTCAGTAAACTCCACTTGCTGAAGAACACTGATGACTGAATGTTCAAAGGAAACTTGCTGTTGTGATCCTTAACTCAGAGAGTGTGTTTATTCATTGATTATGATCATTGATTGGCAAATCCTTGCTGATAGTCTCTAATGATTGAGTGAGTGTAAGTTTATGCCACTCTCAGCAATATTCCAGCTATATGGCAGAGGTCTGTAAATAATAGAGTCTGGACCAGACAATCCAGTGATCAACAGCATGAGCATTGATCTAAGCAATTGGGATATGATGACTTTGTCAACCAAGTCAGCGAGCCTGACCACCAGATCCAGTTAATCGCCTCTTACGACAAGCATTGGTTACTGAAGACCAGTTCTAGACGAGATGTTCATGGGTGTGATAGTGTCTAGCCATGGCCAGGTGATACTCACGTTGTGTTTTATCTTCAGATGGACGAGGAGCGAGTAACCCTTCACAAGGAGGAAGGAGACAAGAAGAGCCAGTTACATGAGAAGCAGACAAGAGAGGTGGAGGAATTTGATATTGAGACGACAAGTCTCGGACTTAATGCAATGGAGATAGCCGAGGCATCTCACGACCCTGATGATGATATGAGTTACCGGGGGAGCATGCTGAGCCTTAGTGGAAGTAGCAGTAGTAGTTCTTTCTCCTCCCAGGTGCCCACATAACTACAGCTCAGTCTTAAGTTTACTGTCCCCCCTCTCCCCCTTCCCCTGATCCCCAGCAGGTGCCTGGGTGTCTGTAGATATATAAATATGAGCAGAACTACCAGAGTGTGCCTGAAGCACATGTGGATGCTCCACCAGTGTATGGAAGACCTGCGGCTCAAGGACGGTGATATTGGATGCCTGGCCTGGTCTTCTTTACGTGGCAATATGTGACAGTGTGATAAGGACAGCGACGACGATGCGACTGACCGGAGGTGGGGGAGTGCGTGCCGGGGTCCATTATGTGCTAAACGGTGATAATACTGGGTGAACACGCCCACACTACGGGACTTAGCCACGCAGTCTCATCCCATTAATTCTCAGGCTTCCTCTTAATGAGACCGATGTACGAGAGATTGAGCAGAGTTATGCCATCGTTACTGTGGCAACCTGGCCAACGACTATCTCTTACAGTGTATATATACCCTCTTCAGAAAGCATACATATATAGCCTAAGAAGGTCACTCCATTATATATTCATGACATAAGCCAGTGACCATTCAAACCAGGGATAGCCCAAGGGATACCTACTGAATTAGCAGCTAACTACTTTAAGCATTACCCTGTAACCCTAAGATATTTATCAAAGACTTTGACTTAGGATCTTGTCTAAGTTGCTCAAAGGCTAAGATAGCTAAGCATAAAGGATTGCTCTGTGGTATCATTCTGGTGACTTCTTACATTTATGCATGGTTTTGTAATTCACATGCATACAATGTAATTTGGATTCAGAATTTACCACATATTTTATACATGGAATAGTGATAAATGATTATTCTGTTGATTTCTGTGTTATTTGTAAGTGCGTAGGCCATTGTTAACTAACAGTTAGCATAAGGGGGACACTTGACCTGGCGCAATTTTAACTCATTTCTGAACCCAAATATACTCTTCATGGAATAGGCTTGATCTGCTGTGGGGCAGATTGTGATGATTGTGATGTGGATCACATACTTCCTGCACAATGTCCAGGTACAATGTATAATAATTGTATAAATTTTGTAAAAAGGTAAAAGAGGTTAATTACTTGATGCAATCTTGGGAGTGATTGTTGTACCAACGGCAGACTCTGCCATCAGGGAGAGTTGTCTCCCTTGACTACATGCAAAATGGAAGCAAACATGCTTACTGTTGGACCTAACTTAACTGGCACAATTCACCAGTGAGATATTTTAATATTAGGACTGACATACAACACTAGTTCCAGTGTAACAGTATACAGTATACAGTATACATGTATTCTGCCATAAACTACTCAGTTGGTTGTCAACAAGAAAATTGCAATTAAAATGATTACCTAATTCAAATGGGTTGTGTTCTTTCTGATTGGTGCCATCCATGACTGCTTGAATGAAGTCATCTATGTGCTTGTGGTCCAGTGGATATATCAGTCACAAAAGGAAGAATCGACACTAAGTAGGCACAATAAATTCTATACCCCCATACAAAGTTGCAGTCATGGAAAGCTCTATCTTCTAGAGTGAGGCCACAATATATTTTACTCTGACAATTTTAGGGAAAAGGTTGAGAGTATATAGAGTATATATAACGAATATCTCTTCCTCTTTATGTCATCTTTGACCTAGAAGTAACTGATGCTGAATATGTATTAAACAGATGTTTGGGAGAGATTTAAGTAATCTACCAGGGTATAGATGTAGGCACATCTTTCCACTCAGCCCTTGCACCAACAAGTAAGCAGAAACACTTTATGCATGACATGTCTCCCACTCTGTGTTACCTTGAGTATTCTGATCATAATCTGACAACAGACGTCCACAACAAACATCTATGGTAGTGTGGATATAAATTCCCGCCCTGACAATATAGTCCCAAGTGACACTGACGATCAAACAATGATTGGTTTGAACCAGATTAACATGGGTGTTGGGGTAGCCTTGTGGTTTCACGCCCAGGATTCGATTCCCCGCATGGATACAATGAGTGAAGCCCATTCCGGTGTCCCACGCCATGATATTGCTGGAATAATGCTAAAGGAGGTGTAAAACTAAACTCACTCACTCAATCAGATTAGCTCTGTTTGCAGGTCGGTGTATAAACTATTTTGAATAATTAATTACACCTGCATCTTGCGTTGAGGTGATCAAGGTGTTTTGTCCAAGGGCACTAAATACAGGAAGGCGTTTCCTTAATTGTGAATGAACAAACCTCATTTATCAACACAAGGGATAAGTTACAAAAGCAGTGAAAAGATCTGTTTTTCTTGTTGATGAATTGTCAAATTAAGTAGGTTTTATCAAATGCATATGCAAATTATTACAACTATCAGAAATAGAAGAGTGATAAATGTTATATATTATTATAGCAATAAATTGCATAGAGAACTAAGTGGGAGGGGAAATAGACACTGACTCAAAGTGTGATGCTGTTCTTTTAGGTTTTAACTTTGGCACAATATGTTTGTAACTAAAATATCATCTTTTAACGTGTTTCGTTTTAACTCGGCCACGTGAACATTTCAATGTAATTCATAAGAACAAAATAAATGACAAAATATAGCAGAAATTACAGTATGGTGAACGAAAATGCAGTACGGGGAGACGGTGTTTTCGTAGGCTGAACCAGTTCGTAGACGCGGTGGTTTCGTAGCCCAGACTGGTTCGTAGACGGTGATTTCGTAGACGTGTATAAACAATTTGATAATAGTATTTTGTAAACATATTAATTTTGATAATGATTTCTTCTTACCTTCTTGAGGTTTATGTACCATAAATGTTTGTACAGGTAATCTTTGTCGGCGGATCAGACAAAAATTGTCCACTCATCATAATTTTCCGACAAGAAGAAAATAATGAAATTACCGATCATACTTACCTAATTTTTTATTTTTTTTCACAAACTCAAACACTTTTCGTTTACACTAAAGTCATAATATCTGTGGTGTTTTCAGAGTTTTATTCAGTTTTGGGAACACAGAACCTCCGGAGAGGGTAATTTACTGTAAGAAACAAAAAATAAACATTAGAATGACTAGCAGCTCAAGTGGTGAAAACCAATGCAATAGTACATAGCTCTATTGAGAAAATAAAAGCAGGAATTGATTATTACCTGTCTTTTCTCAAGACGCGCAGTATTTTCAACACTCCTCCACTTAACCGATCGTTATTTCCAGGAAGAAATCATGAAGGATGTTTGTGCATCCGAGCGCGTAAATAACTGAAACATCAAAAGTAGATTTCTTTCTATCTTCCACTTTTTGTAAGTTAATACACACATTTTTTATAAATTATTTGATTTGCAACGTGCGGTTGTTGAATGTGAGTGACGTCTGCGTATTATGTCGTCTGGTATAAAGTGCATTAAATGCTCGTGCAGCGGAAGTTAGCCTCGATGGGTGGAACAGGTAACCATGACAATGCGAGCGAACACCCCCTGGTGAAATGTACACCACTTCAAAAACTGATTAGCATGGGCGGATCTAGGTGTGTGTGTGTGTGTGTGTGTGTGCGCGCGCGCGCGCGTACCGCTCTCAATACCCCTCTCAATAGCGCGCACACACACACACACACACCCTTCTAAAAAAAATGATGACTTCGTTTCGTGCCCATTTCTAGCATTCTAAGCCTGTAATATTGCACCGAAACACTTTATGCAGTAAGCAGAAACACTTTATGCATGACATATCTCCCACTCTGTGTTACTTTGAGTCTTCTGATCATATTCTGACAACAGACGTCCACAATAAACATCTATGGTAGTGTGGATATAAATTCCCGCCCTGACAATATAGTCCCAAGTGACACTGACGATCAAACAATGATTGGTTTGAACCAGATTAACATGGGTGTTGGGGTAGCCTTGTGGTTCCACGCCCAGGATTCGATTCCCCGCATGGATACAATGAGTGAAGCCAATTCCGGTGTCCCTCGCCATGATATTGCTGGAATAATGCTAAAGGAGGTGTAAAACTAAACACTCAATCAGATTAGCCCTGTTTGCAGGTTGGTGCATAAAATATTTTGAATAAGTAATTACACCTGCATCTTGCGTTGAGGTGATTAAGGTGTTTTGTCCAAGGGCATTAAATATAGGAAGGCGTTTCCTTAATTGTGAATGAACAATCCTCATTTATCAACACAAGGGATAAGTTACAAAAGCTAATGTTGCTGGATTGATGATAAACACATCGAAACTCACACTATTAAGTTTAATACATTACGTCTTTAAGTTTTATTAATAAAACGTCTAACTGTTTTGTTTCAGTACTATTGCAAGTATTGATTTTAGCTATTGAAACAGATATGAAACACACAATCCAAGATTGTACATAGCTGACAGATTGCAATGTCAGTGGAACACAGACACCAGAAATGGGCTTCACACATTGCACCAATGTAGGGAATCGAACCTGGGCTTTCGGCGGGACGAGCGAACGCTTTAACCACTTAGCTACCCCACCGCCCTTACGTTTCAGAAATCAGTAAAATACACCTGTGTGAATTTACTGTTTCCTATCAAGCGTGATGGTACCAGACACAGAGTATACTTTACTGTTGAGTAGCCGCAGTGTGTGAGATACATGCATTATAAATAAAATCCTATCCACCTTGGAGAGTATAACTACATGTACTATATCACACTGAAAACACCCGTGAAGATCCGGGTAGAATTGGTCTTCAGTAACCCATGCTTGTCGAAAGGGGCGACTAACGGGATCGGGTGGTCAGGCTCGCTGACTTGGTTGACACGTGTCATCGTACCCCAGTTGCGTAGATCGATGCTCATGCTGTTGATCACTGGATTGTCTGGTCCAGAACTCGATTATTTACAAACCGCCGCCATGTAGCTGGAATATTGGTGAGTGCGGCGTAAAACTAAACTCACTCACTCGCACTGAAAACTGTTTTCAGGTAATAAGGAAATATTAATATTACCTTAATAATATTAATATTGATAACCTTAATATCGCCTTCAATCTACAAAAGACGAATTGACAAGCCAAAACAAATAATTTATCAACAAATCTTCATCGATTATAACAATAGTACATTCAGGTAGTTATTTAAGTCTATTTTGAGACACATGAAAGTCCGGGTTACACTAAGGAACATAACTGGGTAGGTACCCGTGAAGATCCGGGTTAGAATATTGATCTTCAGCAACCCATGCTTGTCGTAATAGGTGACTAACGGGATCGGGTGGTCAGGCTCGCTTGGTTGACACATGTCATCGTAATTTTGCGTAGATCGATGCTCGTGCTGTTAACCACTGGATTGTCTGGTCCATAACTCGATTACTAAAGTTTACAAACCGCCTCCATGTAGCTGGAATATTGGTGAGTGCGGCGTAAAACTAAACTCACTCACTCACTTGTCCAGATTCAATTATACATCTGTGCATAAATTAAGCACCACCCTATATGTTTACCAATTAATTTTGTCTGAAATGAAATTCTAAACTCTTTCCAAAAAATAACCTTTATAATTTAATTGAGCAAGCATTTAACATTTCAAAAACGAAAACATCATTGAAATTACCATGTATTTTAATTAGGATAATTGCCTATATTTGAAACAGGTGTTTTTCTGTCCTTAAACAAGTAACCTTATTTTGAAAAGTGAAAGTAATAATTGATTGTTGTGTGACCTATATATTCGTTATTTATTGTGAATGGGTGAAAGTTTGTAAACTAAGATTTAGGAAAAGTTACAGTCAAACTAAAAAAAGTAAAATTGTAAAATGCAGTAAAAGTTGCTTTACAAACAAAACAAACAGATTTTAGCTGTAATTATCATTATCTGGCAAGGGGACGTGTTTATTCATTACAATAAACTCAAAATCATAAAAAAATTATTCCAAAATCTTATTAATGAGGCCTTTTTCAGTTTTTGTCAATTAGCAATCTGAATTGGTGGAAAAAAGTCTGAATCTTTGACATTCGGCTTGTTCCTGATTATGAATAATTAAAGCTTACTTGATGTGTAAATGCCATCTTGGTATATAACAGAATTGGTATTTTTAGTCAAAACTTAATTTAATTGTGTAGTTTGAGCAGGAGAGGAATAGTTAGTTTGAGTAAAAATTCAGTCCGATCACATTTTCATCAACATATTCTTTCATAAAGCATAGAATAGGTTATGGTATTTGTAAAACTGTCAGTGGATAAAGCTTCTTTAACTACAGGTTGATTAAATTGATGGCAATACCCTAACCTTTCTGAAGCATCACATCTTATTTTCAAAATAGGGTGGTGCTTAATTAATGCACAGGTGTATATTTACGTACCCCCGTTATATAGCTGGGATATCGCCGAGTGCAGCGCTAAGTAACATACAAATAAAGCAAAATAATTCTTACGAAATCAACGCACCTTACCCAGAATATACCAAACAAAGAGCGAGGCCACGGTAAACATAGATCTTGGTCAAAAAAATAGAGGTTAACGATTACTGGAATAATTAGAAATTTTCTTGTACTCTAGTTCCAATATCAGGGTTAAAATCGTTAAATCACATTTAAACTATTTCCTCAGTGCCTGAATGGCGAAATTCTGAAAATATCTTGTGGTGGTGTATATTTACCGAAGCTATTTGAATAAAACTCTTTAGCAAAAGCAATCTGTGCAGACCTTCCAAAACAGGATATATTTTAAGATTAACCAAATGTAAAACACACTGTAGAAAAAACTGCAGATCTTTCTTGAGTGTCACCCCGTAATCAATGACGTCATTGCACGATGAAATGGAACCGCAATATTAGTGAAAGACGTGTATGTGCTTGAAACAGACTCGGTATTTTAAGACAAACTAAAGAATAAAAACGACTGTGGAACGTCAGCTAATCGGTGATTGCGTGGAACATGTTTTGGCGCTGACTGACATCCGTGAAATCGATATCGGTTAGTATTGCGTGAGGGCAGGGAATTGCGTGGCACGCTCGAAATAGACCACTGTGAACGTAAAGGATGACGGGAGTTGTCACATCGGCACATGCAAAAATATAATCGGGCGTGACACGCTGGAGTTTATATAGGGGATAGGTCACCACATCTTAACTTGGTAGATAGTTGGGGTAATATTTATTAGTTGTTTTAATAAAATCGTTATTGTGTCATGATTAGAATTAATATTTGGTGAGAGTAGAAGCAGCATTTATATCTAATAAAAATACATTTATCAAAAAGTACAGAAGTAGCACATGTGGTGGACATAGTTGTAGGATTATTGAACATTGATACAGTATATCCAACAGTAGTAGTAGTAGTAGTCTTAGTAGTAGTAGCAGCAGCAGTAGCAGTAGTAGTGGTAGTAATAGCAGTAGAGGTAGCAGTAGTGGTAGTAGTAGTAGTGGTAGTAGTAGCAGTAGTGGTAGCAGTAGTGGTAGTAGTAGCAGTAGTGATAGTGGCAGTAGTAGCAGTAGTGGTAGTGGTAGTAGTAGTAGTGGTGGTAGTAGTAGCAGTAGTGGTAGTGGTAGTAATAGCAGTAGTGGTAGTAGTAGCAGTAGCAGTAGTGGCAGTGGCAGTAGCAGCAGTAGTAGCAGCAGTGGTAGCAGTAGTAGCAGTGGTAGTAGTAGCAGTAGCAGTAGTGTAGTGGTAGTAGTAGCAGCAGCAGTAGCAGTAGTAGTAGCAGTGGCAGTAGCAGTAGCAGTAGCAGTAGCAGCAGTAGTGGCAGTAGCAGTAGTAGTAGTAGTAGCAGCAGTAGCAGCAGTGGCAGCAGTGGTGGTAGTAGTAGTGGTGGTAGTAGTAGCAGTAGTGGTAGCAGCAGTAGTGGTAGTAGTAGTAGTAGTAGTAGTAGTAGTAGTAGTAGTAGTAGCAACAGCAGCAGTAGTTTGGCAGCAGTTGTAGTTGTAGCAGTAGTTTTGGCAGCAGTTGTAGTTGTAGCAGCCACCGTGAAGGTCCGGGTTAGGATGAACCTTCAGCAACCCATCCTTGTCGTAAGAGGCGACTAACAGGATCGGGTGGTTGACACGCTGTATAGCTGGGATATTGCTGAGTGCGGCGTTAAACAGCAAAGGACAAAGTAGTAGTAGTAGTAGTAGTAGTACTAGAAGTAGCGGCAGCAGCAGCAACAACAAGAGTAATAGTAGTAGTGGTAGTTGTAGGTTGGAATGGAGGTGTCGGCAGAAGCGGCGTAGACCTTAAACTCACTACAAAATAGTGAGGCGCACGTAAAATCTTTTAACGCAACCACTTATTTCACGAAAGCTCTGGTCCGTTTCTTAAGTGAGTGAGTGAGTTCAGTTTTACGTCGCACTGAGCAATATTGACGCTATATGGCGGCAGTCTGTAAATAATCGAGTGATCAACAGCATAAGGATCGATCTACGCAGTTGGGACACGCTGACATGTGTCAACCAAGTCAGCGAGCCTGACCACCCGATCCCATTAGTCGCCTCTTGTGAGAAGCATGGGTTACTGAAGATCAATTCTAACCCGGATCTTCACGGGTCCGTTTCGTTAAGCTAAAACATATGTTGCAGACTCAACACATATAACTTGCATACTACTGAGACTCAACACATATAACTTGCATACTACTGAGTTGATTTCACTCAAATATACGGGATCGGGTGGCCAGGCTCGCTAACTGGGTTGACACATGTCATCGTATCCCAATTGCGTAGATTGATGTTCATGCTGTTGATCCCTGGATTTAAAGCCTCTATGTATAGTTACATTAGGGTTCATCAGCTTACTGGGGCGGTGGGGTATCCCAGCGGTTAAAGCGCTCCCTCGTCACGCCGAAAGCCCGGGTTCGATTCCCCACATGGGTACAATGTGTAAAGCCCATTTCTGGTGTCCCCCCGCCGTGATGTTGCTGAAATATTGCTAAAAGCGGCGTCAAACCCAACTCACTCACTCATCATCGTACGTGGAATGAAAATTCTTATTTAACGCGGAAGGGGGGCGTTAATGATGTCTGTATGAAGCTGCAAGATATCAGGGATCGAATTACTGATATCATTAAATTCAATCATTAAATATATCTATATATTTCAACCCAATTCGGATACTATCAATCCAATTTAAGATATCAGCAATTCTCTCAAGGTATCATTAATATGCTTCATCATATCTTCAATTCATTGCAGATATCTATACATCTTTAATTCATTTCAGTACATCTTGAAATCGGTTCTGGAAAATTAAAGCACCCTTGATCGTTTGGTGGTAAATGTTTTGGGTTTCTGACTTATATTGTATGATATGCATCTAAGGCGACTAACCGGACCGAGTGAATGACACGCCATCGTACACACACGCACGCACGCACGCACGCACACCAAACACACACACACACACACACACACACACACACACAATCGATGCTCATGCTGTTCATCACCGGATTGTCTGGTCCAGACTCGATTATTTAGACCGATGCCTTATAGTTTGAATATTGCTGAGTGAGGCGTGAAAACCCCCAAAGTAAAACAGCAGCAGCAGAAGCTGTAGTCTGTCTCACAGTCCCTGAACTACATTATTTTCCCTACAGCCAAGCCTTCTCTGCAGTGCTAAAGCCCTAAACGAAGCAAGTCTAGATTTCCCCAGGTTCAGGAATCTCTGGTCTCCCTGCGGCTCCTTTTCAATTTAAATGGGCTTGTTTGTTACTATCAAAATTATATATATTAAAATGTATATTCAGAAACTAAGCCTTAGTCTACAGAAGCAGCAGCACCTAACGGAGCAGTCATCGTGGCAGCAGTCTAACGTGTGCCATACCTCAAGGTCATACTGATTAAAAAAATATCGCTATGTCCTCTGCACGGCCATACTGGGTTTGCCGGTGTTCGCCTCTAAGGTCGTGTGGATAGAGCCGCTGCCTGGAGAGAGGAGGTCGGTGGTTGGATTCCTGGACGCACCATACCAAAGACATGGAATAAGAGTTGCCTGCCCAGCATCCGGCATTGAGGCGCTGAACATATTACTGGACATCAAGTCGTAAATTTAGTTTCAGTTTAGGCTGTTCCTTGTGGAATTGTAAGATTAATTAACTGTACAATGATAAGAATTATCTATTCCTTCCAGATACCTGAATGTATTCAGACGGTGACCCAACCTATCTTTGTGCGTGTATGAGACTATGAGTGTATACCTGCAGTTATGTTCCACACATACGAATTGAACCCAGGATTTGAACGAACGAACCTCTATACCATATATACGATGTAAGTTTTGTAAGATTAATTAACTGTACAATGATAATTATTATCTGTCACTTCCAGGATGCCTGAAGGTATTCAGACGTTGATCCAACCTATGTTTGTGTGTACGAGTGTATGTCTGTAGTTATGTTCCACACATACATTTGGAACCCAGGATGTGGACGAACGAATGCTTCAACGTCTAAACTGCCGTCACTCCCCATATTATGTATACGATGCAAGTTTTGTAAGATGAATTAACTGTACAATGATAATAATTATGTTACTTCCAGGATGTCTGAAGGAATTGTGACGGCGATCCAACCTATCTTTGTGTGTACGAGTGTATGTCTGTAGTTATGTTCCAACACAAACGAATGGAACCCACGATTTGAACGAACGAATGCTTCCGCCTCTTGACTACCCTCTACCCTCCCCCCCCCCTTCCTTACCATTTATACGATGCCAGTTTTGTCAGATTAATTAACTGAACAATGATAATAATTATGTCCCTCCAAGGATGCCTGAAGGTATTCAGACGTTGATCCAACCTATCATTTGGAACCCAGGATTGGAACGAACGAATGCTTCAACCTCCAGACTGCCCTGTCACTCCCCATTACCATCTATACTATGCTAGTTGATACATGACGTGGCTCGACCCCAGCAGGGTGTAAGCGTTTGGCATTCAGTCTCGGGAGTCAGGACAAGTCAAACTGGTGACCGACATTTTGAACAACGGTCTGTGTTGTCGAGGCTCAACACAATCAAGTTAAGGAGCCCGACCAGGTATCAAGCCAAACGCGTTGTTGGGGACCAATTTAACCTGGAATTCCCCTGGTAATCCGGCAAACAACATCCCACAGAAAACATAAGTGCAACTATTTATCAATGTTTTATTGCAAATCCAGATGGTGTACAATGAGTCTATGGCAATCTTGAGCTGTGAATCGGATGAGGCCAATGTCAATACATAGCCGACAACATCAGAATACCACCATGGCCGACAGCCTAAGAGATACAAAACTAGTTCCAATCTTTGCTGCTTGAATGTAAAAAAAAAATCTTTTCAGCACGTCGTAATCGCGGTTATTTGAAAATGTACACAGATTTATTTGTGCTGTCTGGGCCATGAAACTATTCTGATATGCTCAGCCTATGTGCTAACCTTCCATAACGTTCGGAGGAGTGAATGTCTCTGGGCGGTACATCTATCACTGCTGCTGGTTGTCGGAGGTCATATGACTTATCATGTGACTTGTCAGTTGATCATCACATGACTATACATTTTATCATTGTTGTGACTAGTCTAGTAACACTCCGAGGTTGGGGAGGCGCTCGGGCGAGTTATCTCCCTTTGAAGGTTATTCAGACAGAAATAATTACAGGTATTATTGCACATTAATGGTGGTTGTTGCAGATTTGGAGAAAAACATTTGAAGACAATCTCTTGAATTTACAAAACAAGTTCACAAAAAGCAGTTGAATGTGCTCACAAAATATTGTACACTGACAAAAGTTGAAACTATGCTAAATATTTCCTATTTCACTCACAACAGACAGAATAAGGCTTCAATCATTAATAACAGTACATGTGCTAAGACTGTCAGCTACAACTAGCATATGCATTCAACCTTTATTTCACATGTATTCGGTATTAAATGTTGATACTAATGGACTACTTATGAGTTGTACAGATATGCCAGGTACCAAAACTGTTGATCACCAGTTGATAAATTAATTTCGTCAACACTACAGATCTTGGAGATATATATGTGTATGTGTATTTACAATTAATGATCCATGATGGTTTTAACTATTTGTCAGAATCACCAAATAATCACCAAGATAATTTCATTTTCAAGTTATAAACTTAACATACCCGCAGTGGAAAGACGCACCCACAAATACAAAATACACCAATTTGCAATCACACCAGTACAGTTTAGGAAAATAAGTCTTCTACATATTAACAAATACTAGGAATAGATTTTCATATGAAGAGCATAAATTACTTAGAATAGCAACAGTGTGGAACATGCACAGCTATCTACAATACAAATGCAGGGACAACCCAAGTTAGAGCAGAACACTGGTACTAAGATGTTCAGTAGATGCCACTTAAGATAAAGCCATGGTAGCAAGCGTAACCTCCTTTCTATCATTGTACAGGCTTGCTCTGGGTATCAGGTTAAAATGGTTCATAAGATCACTGACAGATAATACTTTGTGAAATATATCCTCAATATGTAAATTTGTTGTCATGGAAATTGAGCAGGGGTATTTTTGATTACACAATGCCATTTAAAAAGTAGTGAAATGTAACATATGCTATATTTGGGATTACACTTCCTTAGTAAAGTGCAAATTCTAGTACTTTTTTTGGTTTACTCAACCCAAAAAAGTACTAAAAAGTACTAGAATGTGTACTTTTCTAAGGAAGTGTAATCCCAAATATAACATGTTACAGGGGTATTTTAATATTGTTTTGTAAAAATGATACTGGTAATTATATTTGATGAGGAAACATTAGCGTTTGAGAATTGTTTAAAGATGCATTTTCACATAATTATACAAAAAATGTCAATGTTTATAAACTAAAAGATAATAAACAAAATGGCAACTTTCATTATTTTAAATGGTGGATTTAATTTCATTAGGAACATCTTTCAAATATTTGTCACTTCACCTATTAGGATGATAATCTTAATGAACTCATTGCCATGACAAAACTATAATCTGATGTGACATGACTTTATCAGGTGCATTGCAAGCCATTTTTTTCGTGTAAGCCCGATAGGTTGCAAAGCTTTACATTTGGATAGTATTGAGGGCTTGCCCAACCTTTTTAGCAACAATCATGTCCAAGCTCGGGCTTTTTTTTATAATGGTAGCTACGCCCCTGTTTATAACCACATTGACGTGTCATTTTGCTGTAAACTTGGTGACTACGATGTCTGTCCCCACATGTTGCTATCCTGCAAAGCAATCCTTCGACTACTACTGTAACACAATGTATATTACACAAGCACGACTGACAGCCGCAAGAGGTAGAAGTATGAACGCTCAACTCTCAATGTAATGCCACACGGACCATTACTTGAGATAAATACTTTCTTTCTATACATAGTTTTATATAAGTTAGAATATGCTTTCAGAAGTACCCTTTGCTTGGCGTTACATTCAGATGGTCTGATAAACATTTCACATCCAAAAACAATATGAAAGACATGATGTGCAATACCTGTGAGAAATTAGTTAAATCTTCACAATTACTTAAGTCGATTTCATTCAGATTCACAAGAGAGAATATACAGATTGAAGTTGCAGAAATACAATGTATTTGCAAAAATATACAATAATTTTTACTTACACAAAATAAGCATTAAACCTGTAACTTAACACTCATTATAAAAATATTACAATCACAAATCAGTTTGTAGTGAAATGATAAATATGGAGAATTAAGTTCAGATTGGTCTTTGCTTCTAACAATTAAATTTGATGAGCAATAAAAGCTTGATATATTGAGTGAGTGAGTGTGCCTTAGAAAAGAATATTCCACGTATAGCCAAGCAAACATGTGGATGATCAAGTTTGAATTGTTTCACGGGTCGTACACATCAATCATTCAAGCATGTCTTTGTTCACATCACATCTGATGTTGCCATCGCATGGTATCGGACATGACGAGTGTTTACCATTAACATTCACTGTTTAAAATAATCACAAAATGGCCACGATCGTTTCATAAATTCCATTACCAATATCAAACACGTTTGTAAATTTGCAAACAATCTATAGTCATTACAATATATTTGTTACAAAGCAGATTGGGTTCGAACAATAATCTACACACACCCAATATAGATAAAAAGTCAATAACAAAGTTCATAAAATCGGACTTGGAAATGTTCACACGTTGAGCACTCCCTCTAGTTTCAGTGGGGACAGTATAAATGGCTATTTTGGTTTCGACGGTAGAAAGATGTAGATGTTTATCTGCCCCACATATACATAGATGATTGCTGAAAGCTAACACTAGTAACAGCACCCAGGCTACAGCTTCTTCAGCAAGCCACCAAACAGGATAAAAACTGCTGCAAAAACCACGTTGTCGAAAACATCGTTGACCAGTACATAACACTTGCTTATTTCAGTACCTGCTTACAAAAAAAACTAATACCAGAACTCTTATAAACTGTTTTCGGAGATCATTTCATCCTGTTTGTTGCCCCGTAACCTGTAGAGTGGTTAATCTCGGATGTAAATCGTCTATAAAATGACCATTTCTCGTATATGTACAATATGGCCGACTCTACAGCAACCGTAAAAGCTCACGTAACAGACAACCACGCCATCTACCCCAAAGAGCTAAACCCAGTCTGTACAACACACTCCCCACACATAGGATATATATACACTAATACTTCCGATGGAATGGCAATTTCTCAAGATGACCACAAAATACATGAGATGATGATGACTGGCTTTCACTGGAGTTACCTCCCTTTGTGTAGTTCATCAGGCAAGTTCAACCATTATGCCTGTTGCAATGCACATATTGACAGCGGTATTATGCGTGAACTGAACTCTCAGTTCGTTTATCTGATGCCATTTTGCATGCTTCAATTACTGTGTAACCCTACCTCGGAGATTGGGGTATCCTCGAGCTCTACTTGTGTACAAAAGTACAAAATAGACTTGATGTTGTCTACATAATTTCTCCTGAAATGTCTACCATTGTCTGGATACTCTAGAAAGTGTCAAAATGGTATATACAACATGTCTAGCATATACACCACAACATCAAGAATATCTTGGTAGTTTGAGTCGTAAGGCAAGTCAGTGTTGATTGGCTGCCTGAACGTGTTGAGGATTTGATTGGCTTGCCATGGAAGTAGGGTGTAATAAAGCGTTTGTCACTCGATATTTTGGCGTATTTTCTCAGGGAATCTGCCTTTCCCATGTACTGTTTTGCAAGTTAGACATGCATAGATCTTTGAGACTGTATTGGATCTGATAATGCCACTTTCCAATGTTTGTAGATTTGCTGTCATAAAAATTAGTACAAAACAAGCATAAATAAAGAAAATACACTACATATAAACAATACTGAACAGTTGCCTGTTTAGAGAGTATACCTAAGTCATGTGATAGTCATGTGACTGTCAGGTGGAATATCGTACGTCATGTGCTCACTAAGGGGAAATAGTGGCAAAATAAATATGGTGTAAAATGAGATCAGGAGTGGGTTCCAGGCGACGACGCACGCACATGCATGCATGTCTACACACACACGCACGTGCGAGGCAGGTAACTGGTCGTAATGGTGTGCTGGCCCGCGCGCCATTGGTCAGGGTCACCACCACCCACTCACGCACATACTTCACGGAAAAACACACGCACAACTCATGGAAAATGTACTGTACAAAAATAGTGTAGTAGTGATGATTACCCCGTGGAGGGTAGCCAATGCTCTAAACCCCTAGCAGCACCAGTCGGTAGCTTGAATCCTTTTGATGATTTTCAAATACTCAAAGGTCAATGGTTTCACCAACTCTGTCCAACCTGTATATATTCATATGTATTGTATGGCGAGAAGTCTTTTTGCTCCCGTAGAAGCTGTGTGATTCGCCAGTTCAGCCAGATGCCGGTCCGTGACCAATTCATGGGCCAATCAGCATGCAGCTTACATCTTGACTAGGCCATCAGGAGGTGGATGCTACCACATTTCAGAGCAGTACTTCTGAGTGAACTGTACATCTATGTACGGAACTTGACGAAAACAACAACCACCTCCACTATATCATCAGTCCATGCTCGGCCAACTGTATTCAGTGTTTTATCTCCATGGGTCTTGTATATTGACCAATCAAACACTTTGTAACATCCAGGTTAGGCTGAAACTGATTCTCCACACATCATGGCCCTGAGCAGTCTGTATCTGTCTGTCTCCACCTAACATCCATACGGCAAGTTGGGTCCGCGGGATTTACTGGCGAGGTTTGAGTTTTGTTGGGAATGGGACTGGCTACGTGACTTGCGTCCCTTGACACTGAAATATCAATGTGTTACATATTAGTACTATACCATTAATGAGCGAGTGAGTGAGAGTTGGGTTTTCGCTTTTAGCAATATCACGGCAGGGGACACCAGAAATGGGCTTCACACATTATACCCATGTGGGGAAACGAACCTTCATCGTGACGAGTGAACGCTTCAACCACTAAGCTATACCACTGCCCCATGTCAGATAGAATACAAAATGTAAATGGTTTTAATAAGCATCCACCTTTCATACTTTTCCAAGCATCTGGACACCTTCCTACCATGAAAACGTTGATCAGGTAATTATTATTAGAGGATATTTATATAGCGCACATATCCAGGCAACTTGTGCATGCTCAAGGCGCTTGGTATTTGATGTCAATCTCAACGGGACATCGTATTATTAATCTCAACTCCTTGGGGAGTATATAACTCTTGCAGCCACTAGGTGCACCGAGTTATTGTGGCTTTCTCATCCTAACAAGGTACCCATTCACAGCTGGGTGGACTGGGACACATAGTCACAGTACTTTGTCCAAGTTTACTGCATGTTGCTGTACCCACAACTAGGTGTTTGCACAATATTCATGTGGCCACCATCTGGTCATATACCAATGGATTCGTGGTTTCTTTCAAGTGCACAGGGTTGTGTACTGTACACTAATGATGGTCTTGTCAGCTTAAACCATACCAACCTAAACTGTATAAGTAATCTTTACTTTTAGCTTACTCAAGTTGAGTCGAATTACAATATGATATAAGCCTCAACACAACACAATGCAAATACACACCTTTGGAAACTCTTGAATGAGATGGAATTGGGGTTTAGACACAGTGGGACTCGCTTGGCTCGTTGTTGTTGTTCTGATATAAAGTGGTGCAACTTTTCTGAAAACGAGACAACAAAACATAAGCAACATTGAAACCATAGCCTCTATCAGATACATATCAGTGAGTCTAGTTTTACACAGCACTCGGCAATATTCCAGCCATATGGCGACAGTCTGTAAATAATTGTGTCAGGACCAGACAATCCAGTGATCAATAGCATGAGCATTGATCTACGCAATTGGGAATCAGATTCATATAAGAGGGTCGATATTGTCTAATGCATCACTATGGTCTTTTGCAAACATGTGTAAGCTCAAATATGGCTTGACTACCATTTCCAGTATACTTGTACTGGAGTGATCCTACGGAACCAGTCTACTCAGGCTAAAGTCACAGGTTGTGACCAAATGTGGAGTGAGTGACCATGTGAGCATTGTTTTACGCCACTTTTAGCACTATTCCAGCAATACACCGGCAGGGGACACCAGAAATGGGCTTCACTCATTGTACCCATGTGGGGAATTGAGCCCTGGGACCCATTCCACAAAACGATCGTAGCGTTAAGATGATCGTTACTACCATACTTTTAAATACACTGACGGCTGTTGTGGTGCTATGATCGCTATGAGGAACGGGACCCTGGTTTTCAGTGTGATGAGTAAATACATTAACCACGAGGCTACCCCTCACCCACACACAGTTACACAGACATGGTACTGCTACCACGAGGCTACCCCTCACCCACACAGAGTTACAGAGACATGGTACTGCTACCACGAGGCTACTACCCCTCACCCACACGAGGCTACCCCTCACCCACACAGAGTTACAGAGACATGGTACTGCTACCACGAGGCTACCCCTCACCCACACAGAGTTACAGAGACATGGTACTGCTACCACGAGGCTACCCCTCACCCACACAGAGTTACAGAGACATGGTACTGCTACCACGAGGCTACCCCTCACCCACACAGAGTTACAGAGACATGGTACTGCTATCACGAGGCTACCCCTCACCCACACAGAGTTACACAGACATGGTACTGCTACCATGAGGCTACCCCTCACCCACACAGAGTTACAGAGAAATGGTACTGCTTGAATGTCCTACCACTAACAGTGCTGAGTGAGTGACTTTGGTTTTACGCCGCTTTTAGCAATATTCCATCAATATAACGGCAGGGGACACCAGAAATGGGCTTCACACATTGTACCCATGTTGGGAATTAAACCTGGGTCTTCGGCGTGATGAGGGAACGCTTTAACCACTAGTCTACCCAACCGCCCCTGAAAGGTCAGAGTGCCACTTCACATAAAATGCTGTTAGGCGCAGACTCAACATACTTGTAGTTTTAGGAATTGTCATGTTAGCTACATCTTGGCCGAGTGAATCTTGTGCAATGCCATCTCCACAGTATTTCACCATCTTGACTCTGGCACTCCTACTTGACTTCAACAGTGGATACGTATCTCACCTTTGACCTTTGCTACAGATGTCAGCTCATCTTCAAAGCTATAACTGAAGGGTTGGTGACAGGGAGGCTCGAAGTCTGAGGTATAATGGCGTCCGGCAGACGTGTTATAGCAGCACTTGCACATACACGAGTGATATCTAAGCCGACCTTCATCTAGGTACGGGTGTGTTAATGCATCACTGGCTGTTATTCGTTTTTCCTGAAACACAGAAGGGTTGGTGAGTGAGTGAATGGGTGAGTGGAGCTGCTGGATACCATCAATAGTCAACATAGATCACTGCAAGTAATAATCAGTGAGTGAGTTACTTGACTTTTACGCCGCACTCATCAATATTCCATATGACGGCGGTCTGTAAATAATCGAGTCTGGACCAGGCAATCCAGTGATCAACAGCATGAGCATCGATCTGCTCAAGTGGGAACCGATGACATGTGTCTAAGTTATAATCAGACAAGCAGGTTTTAGTTTAGTTTTACAATGCTTTTAGCAATATTCCATCAATATCACAGTTGGGGACACCACACATGGGCTTCACACATGGGCTGTACCCATGTTGGGAATTGAACCAGGTCTTCATCTTGACGAGCAAACACTTTAACCACTAGGCTATCCCACTGCCCCTCTTTTCCCTACGAGGTGAGGGAGACTGAATGGATGAGCAGATATGCTGTACTTGCTAGACTAGGTTTGTTTTGTTGTTCAACGCCACACTTAACAATATAATTTATGGCAGTCTTACTGGATTAAACAGTGGCAGGTGAACATATCTAGTCTAGTACCGATGACACAGAGTAGGTTGAGGGAATACTGAATGGATGAGCAGACGGGCTGTACTTACTGGATTAAACACTAGCATCCTACAGAGTAGATGAACTGCCTCATGTGTGGCCTGGCCAGAGAGGGTGTAGAGGGCTGCCAGTGAGGGCTGCTTGTGGGGCTGGCGGAGGATGTGAGCCTTGGCCCCCTCACATGCTGTTCGCATGTCCTCGAGGTTCAGGGTGCCCAGGAGGTCTGTGATGAGATCAAGCTGAAACAGACAGACATTTGTTAGACTCCAACACAGTGACTTAGGAGCCACAAAATGATGAGATCAAGCTGAAACAGACAGACTATTTGCTGGAGTGAGTGAGTGAGTGAGTGAGTGAGTGAGTGAGTGAGTGAGTGAGTGAGTGAGTGTTACACCGCACTCAGCAACATTCCATTTATTTGGCTGGAGTAAGTGAGTGAGTGAGTGAGTTAAGTGTTAAGCCGCACTCAGCAATATTCCAGCTATATGTCGGGAAGGAGTAAGTGACTGGTACGGTTGGTAAGGTGATACAAAATAACTTAAAAGTACAAGTGGAAGCAATCAAAACAGTTTTAATATTTTACATCATCCAAGTAATAAACAAAGGTAGGCCTAACAAAATACTGACAGAAAGAAATAAGAATTCGAGCACTAGGTATGAAGTAGTGTAATAAAGAGTGAGTGAGTTAGTTTAGTTTCATGACGCTTTTAGCAATATTCCAGCAATATCACGGCGGGGGACACCAAAAATGGGTTTCACACATTGTACCCATGTGCGGAATCGAACCCAAATCTTTGGCGTGACGAGCCAACGCTTTAACCACTAGGCTACTCCACCGCTCCAGTACTGTAATGAACACACAGATACATTATGTTCAACTCATGGGCAGCATTTCCACAACACATACAGAAGAACATCAAAGTCTGCATATATCCATCATAATTCTAGTTCCCCTCTATCAGGATAAATATCATCAACCTACTCCAAGCAATCAATCAGTTGCTGGACCATTCGCAGCTATTTTGAGTGATGGTAATATTCTATTGACTTCTTTTCATGTATCCCAACCACAAAATATTAATAATTAAAGACGTTTATCAAATAAAAATCAATAAATATATTATCAGGTTGCAAAACTCTAGTACAGAGTACTCAACAAACTTGAGCCATGAAATCAAACTGCTTCATTTAACTTGAAGAGTACCTAAACCTCCAAAAACAGAAACTAAGTTCACTTTGGAAAACTGATGCAGGTGTTTGCCACTGAAACACATGCATTTTTTCTTTAAAAAAACTACAATTCACACAAATCCTCAAAACAAAGGACAACTGATTTGTCAAACAGCTAAGACCATTTCCAGTAAAAACATTTGTGATCAGATGCAAAACAACAGATTACTACAAACACATCTACTAAAAACTTTCAAGTTGGTGCAGGACATAATTTCCCTATAAATAATGCATTCTTCAATTCAGAAAAGTGTTATGAACAAAAACATTTTGTCCTGTGTTGTTCAAAATTGCTAATTTAAGAGCAAGTTGTCATGCATGCGCCACAAAAGCCGCCTGAACAAAGCTGGCCAGACAAACAATGCCCTGCTCACAACGGGATGTGGGTATGAATTAATAACGCCTCCCTCAGCCTGCTGGCCTCAGTGTGAACTCAATCTGGCTGCACTGATAACACACCTCCCTTCATCTGGCATAAATACACTGATGGTGGTGCAGTGATAACTACAATATTGCCATTATTCTCCATGATATAACCACAATATCACAGCCAGGAGACACGAAGCTCCTTGCTCTGTTTTGAAATGCCAAGATTGCATACAATGCCATTCCGGTAGATACAGAAGCTATTGTCTCGTGGGTATTTCTACAACTGCAGGAAATGCATAGGCCTTAATGACTGAGAGTCATCTACCGCAGCTAGGACATATGAAGTCGCATTTTGAAACGTGCACCTGTTACCATAGTAAAGACAATAACCATTGTATGTGTTTCAATTTTCTTAAGAATCATAAGATATTAAAAATAACATCACAAATCATAATCGCAAAATTCATAATTTTGATTATCTTCCAAATACTTATTGTAAATAATTAAATTTATTGGACATGGTTAAAACAGTGGGAATATTAACCTGACAAAAATTCACTAAAGTCTCTTACGCTCCTAATCAATCACATTTTACGCTATACATAGAATCGGTGCCTTTGTTTAAAAACATTATGGGCTAATATTAGACAAAGCACATCTATTTCCTCAGAAATGAAATGCAATGAGATTTTACCTAATAAATGACAAAGTCGGCTAGATAAAAGATTCCACATAAATATATTCTACTTAACAAAGAATATCTGAAAGGATTAGAGATGATTAGCAATAACTCAAGCAAAATAAATGTGATCTTCTCAAATTCATCATTAAATATGAGGGTAGCGATGTCAAAATATTGATAAAGCTGGCCTATTACTCAGAGGCATCTCAGGAGACGACCCACTGCCGCCACGGCAATGACGCCAACTCGGATGTACTCCTTAGAATCTGCACAGCATCTCCCAATACTGGCTACAGGAAGAAGGTGGCCCTTCCCTCCAAGCACTGTCTCATCCACAGCGGTCTCCCTGTAACCCCTGACATGTTTGGCCTGGTTACCATGGAAACCACAAACTAATTGATTTACTTCCACAGAGCGGTAATATGCATTCATTGATCTGTGGTCGTGAGAAAGCGGCCCTTGCCTTCGTCTCTCCAGATTTCCGCTGCTGTCCTCACAGAAGATGGCACAGGCCATTCCCCACCATGGTGCCCCGAATATCACTAATTGTTTTCAGCTTTCGTTTTTGAAAATATTGACGTGCTGTACATCATTAAAGATACCCTTTGTTCATGCCGAACGCCCTGAAGGCCGTTACTTATTACTGCCATGTTCAAAGCTTGGAAATATCATTCGGAATACAATGCAAACAGAGGTCGAAGCCACTCACTATGATTGTTGTACAAGACTCTGACTCTATGTAAACACTGTCACGGACCTGAGATTATAAGAAATTAATTCTGGAAGACTTAGGGAACAATACGAATCAATAACGTATGCTAACACTTGCAGCCATATTGCTTGATTGAAGTTGTCTACCACAGCGCAGATAATGGTTAAATAGCTACATGAATATTGATGAGAAAGAGAAGCGTCAAATGCCTGAATTAGCATTATACAACAACTGTGTCAGCATTGGAGCAGCACAGACTAATATAGCCTATATATTTTTATCGGGAAAATGTATTCATTTTGCACTCAATCACATGACTACATCGTCAAGCACATACAGTGGTTGAGTGGCTTAGTGGCTTAGTGGTTGAGTGAGTGGTTGAGTGAGTGGTTGAGTGAGTGGTTGAGTGAGTGGTTGAGTGGCTGGGTGAGTGAGTGAGTGAGTGAGTGAGTGAGTGAGTGAGTGAGTGAGTGAGTGAGTGAGCGAGCGAGTGAGTGAGTGGTTGAGTGAGTGGTTGAGTGATTGGTTGAGTGGCTGAGTGAGTGAGTGAGTGCTGGTGTCTACGCGCTATATAAAAGAAAAGGGATATAATGGACGTAAAACACCGTGTCACCTTAAGCAAACCTATGAAGCTCATGCAATAAAAGCCCATAAATCTAGCTATCCTGATACTGACCATAGTGGTAAGAAGTTAACTCCCACATATAGGCTTACAAATGTCACAGTGCCAAAAACGTAATACCATTTTCCAAAACAGATTTTCGGAAACCTTATACTCATGATTCAGCTAGGTTCAATAATCAATACTACAAATATTGTATTACATCTCTTTGTTAATTACTCCACATCTTCATTGTCTATTTGGATCAAGTTCACTATGAAGTTCTCTGTGTATTACAAGCGTCTAATGTGAAACCTAATAAACCATTATGTTTATGATACCACCCTACTTGAACCTGATGAGAATGCATAATGTTACAATCAATGCCCTGTCACCAGAGACAGGTTATTTTCGCAGGCCAGATTGTCAATACATCTCTATATCTTCCCACCATGACAGTCTCTGCCTCAGCTACCATTAGCCTTGTATGTATTCTGGCAACGTATCTGGTACAGTTTATATGTTAACACATGCATTAGTAGTAAATCTACAGGGGCGGATACAGGTTTGTTTGTGCATGCATGCGTGCAGATCATTTTCACCAGTTTTCATGAGAGTTTTAATGGTCTTTTAATAAGCTTTCAGGACAAAAGGGGTCTACTTTCTTGGCCTTGAAAAGTGACAGTGCAAACAGGGAAGATAAAATATATTTTTTTCATGTTTGAATATATGCAAAATATTTCAATCTATTTCGTATCATATTTGCACGTAACTGCTGAAATTGCAAGAATTCAAACAGACTCCTTCAGACTGACTGACTGAGTTTGGTTTTACGCAGCTTTTAGCAATATTCCAGCAATATCACGGCAGTAGACACCAGAAATGGGCTTCACTCATTGTACCCATGTGGGGAATCGAACCCGGGTCTTCGGCGTGACGAGCCAACGCTTTAACCACTAGACTACCCCACCGCCCCTTGTTACAACAGAACAGATGTAAGGTAAAGAAATGAAGAGATCCCTATATGCTGTGTGTATAATGACCAAGGATGTTGAAGGTAGGGGACCCTTGTTGAAGGTAGGGGACCCTTGTTAGATTGGTTGGTTTGTTTGTTGTGTAATGCTGCACTCCGCAATATTAAAACTGTAAAAATGGAGTCTGGACCAGACAATCCAGTGATCAACAGCATGAAATTTGACATACGCAACTGGGATATGATGACATGTGTCAACCATGTCAGCGAGCCTGACCACCCGATCCCGTTAGTCGCCTCTTATGAGATGCATAGGTTACTGAAGATCAATTCTAACCCTGATCTTCGTGGTTCCCCTTGTTAGACTGTGGTACAACTACCTACCTGTTGTATTGGGCTCTGAGCCTGGAACAGGATACGCCTAGAGAGTAGTTCTGCAAATATACAGCCGACCGACCATATATCCACGGCTGATGAGTAATGTTTGGCCCCCATAAGGATCTCTGGAGGTCGGTAGTACTGCGTCACTACTTCCTGAGTCATATGTACAGATTCCTCAGGCTCTTCGATGCGTGCAAGACCAAAGTCACAGATCTGCAGAGATACAAACACTGCAGGTTAGGCTGTCATTGATTAGTAGATTTTACTGCCGCTGCATCTCTGTGAGATGCCCCATCTCTGTGAGACGCCCATCTCGTATTGTTTCATTTTCCTCTGTGTGAGACCTTCCAATATTCATGCCCATCTCGTGAGTTTGGTTTTCATTTTCCTCAAAGTATGACACCAGAAATGCTTGAAATTCATTGATTCCCAATATTCATGCTTTAACCACGTAAATAACATCAGTCTGCACTTGATTATGAAGTTGCTATAGCAGTTTGTATAATAAAACAAATGCAAATGTATGCTCCCCAAACTCGGTTTCAACATACAGCAAACCATCTCGACAGTGAATGAGTGCGTTTGTTTTACGTCACTTTTAGCAACATTCCATCAATATCATGGCTGGGGAACCAGAAATGGCCTTCAGACATTGTACTCATGTGGGGAATCGAACCCGGGTGTACGGTGTGACGAGCGAACGCTCTAACCACTAGGCTACCCCACCGCCCCAAACCATCTTTATAATGAACATGCTTATAGCGAACTGATGGATGTAACAACCTAGTGTTTTAGTTCTGATCAAGTGCTATACAATTTCAAAATCCTTTAAATAAACTACTGTTTCAATGAACTTCAGTTAGTGGTCCTTATAATCGTAGTTTACTCTTTTTGAAAATTGTCTTTTAAAATATATATTCTGACAATACACATATTCAGGTACAGATAACACCTAAAAACTCATCGGACATGCCTGACTGGTATAACACACTTGGTATTATTCCAGTCAGTTATATCAAATAAGGAGTCGGCATATAGAGGCCTATAGTCGGCCAAGTGACAGCCAGGCAAACAAGTGGTGGAAAGCATGAGCATCAGACCACTGAGTCAGGTTATGATGACTCACATTGCAGCACCAAGCCCATCTTAGCCATATCTTTTGACTGTGTATGCAGGACTGACTGACTGAGTTTAGTTTTACGCCGCTTTTAGCAATATTCCAGCAATATCACGGCGGGGACACCAGAAATGGGCTTCACACATTGTGCCCATGTGGGGAATCGAACCCGGGTCTTCGGCGTGACGAGCCAACGCTTTAACCACTAGGCTACCCCACTGCCCCGTGTATGCAGGAACTACCAAGGGCAAATTGCACTGTACTCAAGGGGAAAAATCCAACACTCTCTACATTCTGAGCATCTAGCAAGATAGAAAAGGAATCATGGCTGAATTTGTGTATTGACTGAAACAAGTTTACATTCATGCAGTGTATGAAATAAGCCAAAAACCCAGCCAGACATCAGGGCTGGTAACTTCAAAATGTTATCAGCCCGAAATGGATTTAACCAGACCAGGCACCAACATATTGTGAATTTATTCAGATGTATTGAACATCTAAACAATTTTACCAGACCATAAGACTGGCTAGCTGTAAATTGAGACCGTCCGTCAGAAACCTAGCCAGTCTCCGGCGTTCGGATGGGCCTTATTTCATACACTGGTTCATGTAAGAAATGTGAATTGGAGTTGTGCTCACCTTTAAACAACAATTACTATTTACAAGGAGGTTGCCAGGTTTGATATCCCTGTGTAAAACCCGGGCGGAGTGGAGGTACTTCAGACCTGAAACAGACAGACCACCGTTCATACTCACAGCCATTCATCTGACCAGCAAACAATCTACTGATCCGCACCGTTAACGATGTTAAACGTGACAATTACTACACATGGAAACAGTGTACAGTCTCTGATTTCAGGTAATTTCTGAAGGTAATTTTGTTTAACTTATTGTGATCACCTTTAAACATCCACTCTAAAATCTTAACAAAATGGCAGAACAATTATATAAAGTAGGCTAGGGACTTTGTGGTACAGACTGAATTTACCATAGTTTTGATAAGATTGGTGAGTTTGCATTTCCAAAGAGTGAAATAATCCTAAGCAACATGCCTCTCGACAAGATAACAGTTACATATATGCTGTATATTGGCCAATCTAAATCCTGTAACATAGCTCTATGAGTATCAACACAACAATCACTGAAAATCTTTATATCAGTAACTCTTATTACCCAAAGTAAGAGTCTTTTGGAAACATCATTATGTAAATATCACATCACTTCAATAACAATTTGCCTACTCAAAATCTCAGCGTGACCGATGTAGCTAATGCCACACAGAGTTACTTCCCTTTAGCCACTGTAAACCTACACTAGGCTGCCACTAACGATGTTGCAACTATTTACAGTATGTACTGCCGAGAACTGGTAGAGAAGGATGGCATCCAGGTATGTAAGACTCACCTCTGAGTATTTGGTAGAGAAAGACTTTGACATGGTCGGCAGTGAGCGGCTGAGGCGACACGATAATCTTATGTAGATCGCTCTGTAGCAGCTCAGTGACCACATAGCTAGCAATGGTCAAGGAAACAACACACCAACAACAATGAAGTGTTACTCAAATATATAAATTGTGAATTAATGATAAGCTTGGAAACATCCTGACATGCTCATGAATGGTAACATATAATCACAATAAAATCCTTTATTTTTGCAGGATACTCAATTCACAAACCAGAGTATTTTTTTGTTGACAACTATTCCGTAAATTTTACAACTTGTCATGAGCCCTGGTCCAGTTCAACATATCAGTCCAGTAGGTTTAACTACAAAAACAAACCAAACAAAACCTTTGACTACAATCCACTTAGTCTGCATATTGTGCAGACAATGTTCAGGGGGAGCTAGGCTCTCCAGACAGAAAGGTTTCTTTATGTCCTTAATGCATACTCCTAACTCCACATCAGAATTAAAGATTCATACAGTAAATTATACAGACCAAATCCATAAATGATTTCATTTAAATGATTTTTTTTTGTCATTGTTCAATAAAAGTACAAAAATTAATTCATCTACTTTTGAAAATAAAATAGAAAAATACAAATGGTTGCATAGGTGAAAGAAGAAACAAAACTAGTTTTTTTTTCATCCAGTGAGTTTTAGTTTTACGCTGCTTTTATCCATATTCCAGCAATATCACAGCTGGTGCCTCCAGAAATGGGCTTCACACATTGTACCCATGTGGGGAATCGAACCCGGGTCTTCAGCATGACGAAAAAACAATTTGTCATTAAAACCATAAAAAAAATTTTTTAGTAATCAGCCCTAGTCTAGGAAAAAAACCCATCATCTTTCACAAGTTCTATAATTATGTTGGTTTTGCATGATTCATAACAGGGCCCATTACACCCATCCCAGTGTCAAGATTCTTGTTGCTAGGCAACACACAAACAAAACCATGATCACAAGTTGTTGCACGTTTCTGGGTGTACATAACGAATCTGACCTCAAGCGTCTACCCGGAATGACTATTGTTATACACAACAAATATATTTCTAAAAAAGAAGTCAATAAAAAGCAAATGGGTTGTAGTCAGGAAGATATTACTTTACTTCCCTGATCTGTGGTAAAGCATGAAGGGAAATGATATTGGCCGACAACTGATAATGGTTACACTGCTGACCTGAGAAGGTCTTTGTACTGCAATGGACTCGGCTGCCTTTGTTATCCGAGACTGGCCATGGGATATGGATCATAGTTTACTCTGTCGTCTCGGCAAGGAAATCACAACTCTGTAGAAGCCATTGAATGGTTTCAAACACCGGACAAATCCAACTTAACATTTTCCTCAGAGGAAAACTACCTTTCATGTTCTAAACATGTATGGGCCTACTTTTAAGGAAAACAAAACATGTTTGACATAAAATAAGGCTTGTGAAATGATTTTGTGAAAAACATCAATATACTGTCCTAAACTTTGTAGGCTAAACTGTTTTGTGGTTCAAGTATTTTGTATTTCAGTGTTAATAACATTAAGTTATCTTGAGAGAAATACTGAAATGTCCTGGTTTTTTAAAATATACTTTTGCATTAATTAATTCCGAAAGCCCTATGGTGTATTCAATGAAATATCTTCATATCACATAATTCATACAACAACATTAATATAATGTTGATACTCTAAAGCATAATGTGCAAGCAATCAACTTGTTTTTCTATTTCATAGAGTGATCTTATTTTGAAATATCTATCAGAATAATAAAACAATAAATCTGAACCAGTGGATATCCAAAATAAATTCACCAATGTACTTTCATATATTTTTCAGACGATACAAATGAGAACATAAATTAATAAAAGACTTCAGAGTCTTCAAAATAAGACTTTTAACTGCCTGTTTCAATGTTTACCAAGTGAGAGAGTATCTGCACAAAGCTGAAACTCTGATAGTTAATATTTGCCTAAACAGTCCCTCGGCGCCACATGATGTCACCGATATTTATAACTTCCTCCGGGATAAAGCTCTTCCCAGCACCCAACACCAGCTTCACACCAGACTGGTTCAGTCTCCCTCTCAGATCATGTGGGGTCAATTCACCTTCGCTCAAATTCATTTTTTTAAATAAAATTATATTAAACTTCAAAATAACTGAACACACACATAGTTCACAAAAATTGTTTCATTTAAATAATAAATAGCGTGAGTTGATTAAATCTGGATTGAGGCCTGGCTCCAGTCTACCGCCTGCCCGTAAAGATGGGAGTGAACTGATAGTTAAGTCAACAAAGGCCCTGGTTGACTAGTCTAACAAAGCCCCAGCCATTCCTACATGTCTTTCTGGTTTTGTTCGTAGCAGGACTGGTTCACCCCCACGAAAAAGGTCTTAATTAAATACAAAACTTTCTTTTCACATTATGTCCTATTTTAGTTCTTTAAAGAATTAACACAAGTTTATTTTTATGTTGAAGTTATAAAAAAATATTGACAAGTATTTGATCAGATGTGTCAAGATCTGTGGAACAGAAAATATACACAAAACCTTACTAATTAATAATATTTACAGAAATAGTAGTACTTTGTTAGTTTTAGGACAATATTCTTGTAAAATTACTAAGATTACATACTCAATTGTCTCTGAAGTGTATGACCTGATGTTTTAGATACATGATACAGTAAGAAGGTATCTACACTTATTTCTGATGAGATTTTTATCTAAATATTCAATTTATATTTTCATAAAATATGAGTTCAATGTGAGTTCGCGGGAATATGCAACATTCTCCATCCTAGTAACAGCTGTTTCTGTTTGTATAGCAAATAAATCTGGTAAGTTAGCATATAACACTATTAATCAAACCTTGGAATACAATCGAACTTCAACTGACTACCCTTACTCTGCCACATGGCACAATCCCCACTGTGATGTGGATTAACCCATTGTTATAAATGGGTGTGAATAGGAAGTCACAGCTGTTTGAGAAAACAAAGGCCCAGAATCGAAGCTGACTGCTGTGACATTTGAATCATGAAGACAGGACCCATGAAACTGGGTCACAGGATTCACTCTATCAACAGCTTGTCAGCCACAATAATGACAAGCTTCAGAAAGAAATATGTACTTGCAAAGTAAAACTATGACGTGTGTGTACATCATAATCACGCGATACCTGAGAACAAAAGAACTACAATCATACACAACATATCCCATATCTGACAACAGAAACAAATCTGATAAATTATCACAGCAAATTCAAAGAACCGGTGTTTATCACTGAACAAATTTTTTTATTCAAAGCCGGCTTTGAAATAAATTTAAAAAACAAACCTAGTTGGTATTTTTCTGAAGCTTGGAAATCAGATCAACTGTGAAAGCACCTTAAATCTTTCTACAGGTGCCAGCTTGTCTAAATAGATGTAAAGTAGGACATCGAGGTTGCTTGGTCTAGTTTTGCTAACAAGGTGGCTGGAATCTTCAACTAACAGCCAACACCTTTTTGGACTAAATAGGTGAGAAAAAACATGCTAATAACAACCAATTGGGTCAGGACTTGACCCACAAATCATAGACATGGCAAACAGCCAAGCTATTGATGGCAAGTTACCACTACAACCATTTTTATAACACAATCAATGATTGGACAGCTGTTCAGTAACAAAAGATCTGATTGGTCAGTGTGACAGTTATAGGTCATTGGCATCTACTGGTTATTTTGGTCAGTCAATATTGACCACAGGTTTACAGACTTGAGTCCTGCTCAACTCAAATGGCCGCGGAACAAATTAAATCTGTATTTAGAAGAGACGGGCTTCACTCTGCCCAAAGCTCCCACCTACACTGTAGACAAAGGTATTTCAAGATACACCGTTCATTCTCTCGTAAACAGTCTATAGGTTTTGTATAATCCCACCGAGAAAGAGTAGGTACTAAACACCTTTGTTGATTTAATTAGTTCAAGAGGTCAGCTTTCTCTGGATAGCTGTGCTAGTCATACAAACTTTCTTCTAACGACCCAACACCAATTTATTTGCCTCGCCAACACAGCCTGACACAGCCATAGGCTTGGTATTTTTCAGAATACACGTATCTGGAAAACTACCCAATCCTTTTTCAAGTCGGTTTAATGTTACTGAAACCGCATCCAAAATGACTACATATGACAAACAATAACTCATTCAAAATATACAAGTATATCTCAGAATATTAACAGCCTTCAAATATAACATAGTTTTCTGTGTAATATTCATAGTTAATCCCTAACAATTCTATATACTGTGACACTATTGGATTAATGGGTTTCCTTAAGTGACCATGTCAGTGGGTGCGTTACAGGATACACCGGTGGGTTGGGAGATAGGCAGGTGTGTGAGTATATGAGTGGGTGTCGTGGTGCGTCAGCCACCGAGTTAGGGATTCACTGTAGTGTGTCAGCTTCATGCAAAACACAAGCCCCGAGTGAGAGGAAATATAACTGACATTATTCTTTCAGTGAAAAGTATATGGGTTAATTTCAAGTACCTTTAGACGACTGACTGAGTTTTTTTATGCAGCTTTTAGCAATATTCCAGCAACATCACGGCAGGGGACACCAGAAATGGGCTTCACACAATGTACCCATGTGGGAATTCGAACCCGGGTCGAGAGATCGAGAGAGAAAGAGAGAGAGAGAGAGAGAGGGGGGGGACGGGGACCAGTGACATGTAATGATTCTATATGAACAGTCATATATATTTATATTATGTATTTTCCTTAAAACTATTTCATACAAAGTAACCAATTACATTAAGGCAAGAATTTATAGATGTCGACTACTTCAGTTGGGATTTACGGAACTCAACGTTTTGGAGTGTATTCTTACTTCTTCATGTAAATGCCATTCAAAGACTTTAACCAAACACACTTTTGAATATCCAAAACTCGGACATTGGGACGGGGCAATGTGAACTTGAAATATGACACCACCCCACCCACCCCCGAACTAAAACACCTCAACCTGTTCTCCCTACGATTGTGTACCTGTCTCATCTGAACTGGGATAATCCATTCTGGTAATTAATTCCGATGTACTATACATGCATCATGACCTGTCTGCGACAAGCTGTCAATCAGCTGCGCCCTCTGCTGACAGGTCAGTCAAACAGCCGGGAGACTGATACAAACATGGCCAGTTTGTTGTGCACACATGAACTGATCGTCCCAAGGTTGTTCAAATCATACCAGGAAGCCTAGTGCACCTACACGTCTTAAAGAACGTCCAAAATTACAGAAAATATCGTAGATTGCATAAGGTGACAAAAAACTGTTTGCAAGAAACACCAGTGCAAGAATTTCACACCTTTCCCTCCTTCTCATTCTATAGAATCTGTGGCAAGATGGTCCACACACTGACCAGGGGTACCGAGTGGGCCGGGAAGGGAAAACATAGCTCAATATCTGTTACATTCAGGGATGTATCTGGGCTGACACAGAGGGCAATAATCACTATGTCTGCAGCAAGTGTAGATACAAATTTCAAATCCCGAATTTCATTATTCAAAGTTGTATACAGGTAACTAATGATATGCCTTGTAGAGATCACTCCTATTTCAACAGAACAAAGCAGGGGTGGAAATAACCCATTGCCCGATGTCCGAGTCCAGTGTTTTTTTTCTGTCGGGCAAGCAAATTTGTATATCACACTGTACCGGTGTCCAGTTGACTTTCCAATGTTAATTATGTTGTTTATTTAAAAAAATCAACAAGAAAACGTCCGGTATAGTAGAAAAAAAATAATCAGGGCAAGTGATTTTACATGTGCCACTGTACCGGAGTACACTAGCAATTTTAAAGTTATTTCCACCCCTGACAAAGGAGTGCGAGTAAGGGTTTTACGCTGCTTATACAACATTCCAGCAATATCACGGCGGGGACACCAGAAATTGGCTTCACACGTTATACCCATGTGGGAAATTGAACCTTGGTCTCTGGCTTGACAAGCAGACACTTTAACCACTAAGCTACCCCAGCGCCTACAGAACAAAGAGGTAATCCTGAATGCTATGTGACCCATGAAGGTCCGGGTTAGAATGAGCCTTCAGTAACCCATGATTGTCGTAAGAGGCGACTAACAGGATCGGGTGGTCAGGCTCGCTGACTTGGTTGACACATGTCATCGGTTCCCAATTGTGCAGATCAATGCTCATGCTGTTGATCACTGGATTGTCTGGTCCAGACTAAATTATTTACAGACCACCGCCATATAGCTGGAATATTGACGAGTGTGGCGTAAAACTAAGCTCACTCACTCACAGGTAGAAAAAAATCTGCACCCATTTGCCATCATATATTTTTATGGGCCTTCTTCAGGTGACACGAGGCAAAATGCAGGTCTAATAGCTGTATAGCATATGATGTAAGACAACGAAGAAAACACTCCTGAAGCTATGATCACAAAGTTTTACAAAGAATGTACTGAATAAAATAGCATCTATTTTCCAACGAGCCTGCTGTTTGGAATACTTGTAATCACGGTAATAGCCCTTAAAGTGTACAGTTCCTAAACCTGACGTCATGTCGAAAATCTATTTTAACAGTATCGACTCCACTCCCAGTTACTATGTCTCAGCAATCCAAAAATAATTCACAACTGTGATTCTTGTTACATCAATCATCCAATATTTCCATTTGACGCCTCTCTCTAGCATTTCTACCCATATTGACTTGTTCATTTACTAGGAATTACTAATCTAACCTTTAAAAAGCCTTTCTTACATAAATCTCATCCAAATTTCATCGGAAAAATTAACCACAGACACTTATGTTCAAGGGAAGAGAGTCTGAAATTTAATTGATTGGTCACTCAGTTTCACCCACTTCAAGAACGGTTATATGAAGCTGAACAGCTATTCAAGAACCTGCCAATATGGTAGCTCTCTACCTGATTTTCTGTGAGAGATCGATTTCTTTCTGCTACGAAAATGGTATAGACAGACTGAGTACCAATGACGCGGGTTCCACTAAATATAATCCAGGTATGGTTAAAATAAACGCCATTCCTTACTCGTATAGGATAAGCTTTAGGAAGATTTCTCTATGTTCAATTATTGAAGAAAGGTGGAAACAGTTCACACTTCATGTCAAATACTGAGTTAGAAGGATCTGTGAGTGAGTGAGTGAGTGAGTGAGTGAGTGAGTGAGTGAGTGAGTGAGTGAGTGAGTGAGTGAGTGAGTGAGTTTAGTTTTACGCCGCACTCAGCAATATTCCAGCTATATGGCGGCGGTCTGTAAATAATCGAGTCTGGACCAGACAATCCAGTGATCAACAACATGAGCATCGATCTGCACAATTGGGAACCGATGACAAGTGTCAACCAAGTCAGCAAGCCTGACCACCCGATCCTGTTAGTCGCCTCTGACGACAAGCATAGTCGCCTTTTGTTCCAAGCATGGGTTGCTGAAGACCTATTCTACCCTGGATCTTAGGGGTCAGAACTTGAAATGACTGGTATTACTGTTATTTGAATGTTTTTTTCCCACATAACAAATTGATATCTTGGGTGTTCCCACACGTTTAGTTTTTTGACGACAAGTAGAGATAGAAAGATATTAGGCTTAATTTTTCTCTAGAAATCCTTGCTTACATCTGACATCTGTTAAAACTTCAGCTTCCTCCTTGAAACTGCATGACGGACACAGACACAACTGAATCACTAGTGAGATCATATTTGGCAACCAGGTCATTTACAGCTTACTAATCACAATCCCTGTTTTATATCTTGTTCATCGAGGGATGTGCTACCAAGCAACCAACAAACAATCTTCAAGCTACCTACTCTACAACAGTCCATCTACCAACAGAGACCTGTGTTAGCAAATGTTGTAAGGATTACCTTTTGTGAGTGAGTGAGTGAGTGAGTGAGTGAGTGAGTGAGTGAGTGAGTGAGTGAGTGAGTGAGTGAGTGAGTGAGTGAGTGAGTGAGTGAGTGAGTGAGCGAGTGAATTTTTACGCTGCTTTTAGCAATTTTCCAGCAATATCACGGCCAGGGACACCAGAAATGGGCTTCACACATTGTACCCATTTGGGGAATTGAAACCGGGCCTTCGCATTGAGGAGTGAAAGCTTCAAAGACATGGCTATCTCACCGCCCCTAAATAGAAATGACTTTGGAGGAGACTCAATTTGGTTTCTCAATTTGGTACACCTCTATGCAGGCAATATCATTCCTATACTGTCAGGAAGACCAAACCACAAGCAATATTCCAGCTATGTGGTGGTGGTCTGTGAATAATTGAATCTGGACCAGACAATCCAGTGATCAACAACATGAGCATTGATCTACACCACTGGGATACAATGACATCAGTCAATCAAGTCAGTGAGCCTGATGATCCGATCTCATTAGTGGCCCCTTAAGAGTGAGTAAGTGATTTTAGTTTTACAACGCTTTTAGCAATATTCCAGCAATATCACGGCGGGGGACACCAGAAATGGGCTTCACACATTGTACCCATGTGGGGACTCAAACCCAGGTCTTCAGTGTGATGAGCGAATGCTTTAACCATTAGGCTACCCCACTGCCCCCTTAAGACAAGAATGGGTTGCTGAAGACCAGTTCTAAGTCTGATCTTCACAGGTCAAAACTACTTGTGAGTCTGTGAATGACACCCTGATCAACACACCTATTCCAATTCTCCTCGACTTGCCCTACAAATATGTATGTGTGCATAAAAGACGAAAACTGTGGAAACTCATATCAGAATGTCAACAACCAACATGAAACACAATATTCTGCAGAATCAAAAACCAACTTAAGACATTTACAATTCTGGACCAAGGGCTTGTAAACGAATTAGTTAAGAATGAAAGGCTTAAATGTCCAACGCCTCAGTTGCTATTTGAGGCTGAAGTTTACAGCACATGATATTACCAACAGAACACACATGTGCGCCAACTCTGACATATACAGTGCGCCACCTACACAGCAGGGTGACATTCACGCAGCCCCCAGCCTATTCCTGCCTTGCATGTTTAGACTAGGCAGGGCAGGTGAAAACACAGGTAGCAGTACCCTGCAATCATAAATATTAACTGGTACAGGCAAAAAACCCTCCATATTCTGACATTGACAACGACAAAGTCATACCTTTTCATATTTTTGGGGTAAAGCTGTATTTTGGTAAGGGAAAAACACCTAGGTGCTTTCTCTATATGCAAAATGGATAATATCCTGTAGAAACATAAAAGAAAGTAAATTTCTAACAAACAATTACCATTCTGAATGTTGCATGGAGCACCAGTAATGTGAGAAAATCAATATTTCATATCAACCGAACTCAAATGTATCTACCGTATTTCATGAAAAATATTCCGAAAATGTTTTGCGAGTCCCAAACTTGTCAGTGTCTGTAGACAAAGGATACATTTCTTGGAAGAAGTCTATGTGGGGAGGCTGAAGTATATCTAACGATGATAGGACCTGAAACAGAAAACGACAACATGTTACTGGCAATAGAGTCAATGCAATGTTTGATCTCGTAGGGAATTCTGGTTAGAGTGAGTTTAGTTTTACATTGTTTTTAGCAATATTCCAGCAATATCACGGTAGGGGACACCAGAAATGGGCTTCACACATTGTACCAATGTGAGGAATGAACCCGGGTCCCTGGCATGATGAGTGAATGTATTAACCACAAGGCTACCCCACTGCCCCTCCTGGTTAGACAGCCCCGGGAAACCCATAAATGAGTCGTGACTTCTGAAGTAAAGACTGCAAATAGTTTCATAAAACAAACACAATCCCGAAAACATTAATGATACTTAACAAATTTTGTTCAGTCAGAATCTCAATTTTCAGTCACACAACTTTGATTACCCAACTAAGCATCTATAATGCTCTTTGTTATTACATCGCAACAAAAGAGGGACGTAACAGATTGATTTTAGTTTCATCTCAACAGTGAGTGAGTGAGTATGGTTTTACGCCGCTTTTAGCAATATTCCAGCAATATCGCAGCAGGGGACACTGGAAATGGGCTTCACACACTGTACTGATGTGGGGAATCAAACCCGGCGTGACGAGCGAACGCTTTAACCACTAGGCTACCCCACCGCCCCCTGATAACCTCAACAGCGTTTAACAGATACTGTTTTTTAACTGTGCCGACTGTGTTCATGAAAATTGAAGAAAGTGTCTTGGGCTGCGGTGAACACATTTAAAAGCTATGAAGTAACATTAGTTTTTTGGGGTCCCACAAGTTTAAGGTTGAAAGGGCATTCCACTCTAGATAATTCACTTCTGCTGGGACTATATCTATGGGCTAATCTTCCGCCCAGGTGGAATCCTGGTCTGTGTTGAAACATAAGCCTCAAAGTAAACAGTCACTTCCACTGCTAAGGCGTGGAGGCATTCTTCCCCAACAGTTGCCAGAGAAGGGCTGGAGATCTTATCACCTGACCTGGGACCTACTCCCACAATTGTCGCACTTTATAGAAAATAGACATGCTGACTAAGCACTTATTCTACTCAGCCCACTTTCAGAACATTGTTCTGGATATCATAATGGTGTCAAATGGTTAAACCAAAGACAACTATTTTGATTCCCGATCCCACCTCACTGTTCCTTCACTAGGGCTATTTTTAGCTTAACTTGACCTCTGCAGTGCTGTGTTCATAATTTTAGAACACTTTCTCCTGATTGGTTTTACCAAAATTATGACGAAATATTTCAATGAATTTCAGTACTTTACAAACGTTGGAACTGCTGTTCATTATAACATTTTTTCACAAGGCAAAGAAGTTAAGGCAATTTGAGAAAACACTGATCTTATCGCAGGCAAACATGTTTTGAGATGGCCCCTACACATGTTTAGAACTCTATCCCTGCTTTAACATGTGCCTTGAAACAATTTTGGGATTGCAAAGCTGACAGTATAACTCATATTAACTTTACCACAAACATATATTTTTTAAACTCTGTAATTTATTTAAATATATTGTACATTACAGTGGCTTGTCTGCACATGAATTTAAATGTTTGTTGCCAATGGACACCCATTAAGCTGACAGATGTGACACATGGCTTCTGTCAATTGAGGACAGGGCAATGTACAAACACTTCCAGTACCAAAGGCTTGTACAAAGCCATGTGGCCAGTGCAAGGAGTCACTGTCCAGGTGATACTATATATAAGGGAGGTCACCAGGGTCACCAAGCCTTTGTGTAAACCCAGGTACAGTTGCCAATTAATGCGGTCCATACAGACAAATGTCAAGGACAATAATATAATGATCTGCCGAGGTTATCAAAATCTGGGACCCTATTCACAAAATGTTCGTAGCATTACGCCATTCATAAGCCTATGGTAAAGTATAGTGTTACGACGTTCAACACTTTGTGGACCGGGACTCTGGCTTTTTTAAAAATCTAAAGCCACTTTGTGAGTGAGTGAGTGAGTTTACTTTTACATCTCTGATTTTAGTTTTACGCCGCTTTTAGCAATATTCCAGCAATATCACAAAGGGGGACACCAGAAATGGGTTCACACATTGTACCCATGTGGGGAATCCAACCCGGGTCTTCGGCGTGACAAGCAAACGCCTTAACCACTTGGCTACCCCACCGCCCCAGAGCCTATCTGTGCACAGATGGAGTTTAATTCCAGGGTACTCCAAGAACTGGTTCACTCGGTCCACCCATGCAGGAATAACAAACCCAAACCTTTGTCATGACAAATAAGCTCAAGGTTAGCCCTAAGGGTACCACCTGAGACTAATTTATTGTGAGGCCAGTTACTTTTATCTGATTTTGTTGCTTTAATTCATTCGGGTTTTATTGGTAAAACCTTTGCTTGAAATTTGGGCACTTTGAAAGGAAATCCAATTCACTCTATGCCCTTTGTCCAGAAATAAGCACAGTTCATGGCTGACACATAAATTCAAGCAGTAAGGAGTCTGTGTAAATTCTGATTAAAGTCCTAAAACTGTGATGACTTCAGCTTGAATATTTCGCCCAGCAGTGTGTACAGAAGGGCATCAACGGACAGATTTAGCCATTGGATTGCCGATTCAGCATTCTCTATTGGTGGCATAGTTTCGGAATCTACCAGAACTTGGTTCAAGCCATCTCTCAGCCCAAGATGGGAAAAACTGTGTGTGGGGTGGTGTGAGGGGGTATGGTGTCAACATGGAACAGCCTCCCAGACATGTCATTGGGTCTGGGTTTGAGATGCACCAAACAACAGATGGTATGATTTCAGCTACATCATATGCACATGAATGTTTACAAAGCACAACATGGTTGTTCTTTCTGTTTAAGACTGTAGCCAACAAAATTTCTGCCATAGAGTGAGTGAGTTTAGTTTTACGCCGCACTCAGCAATATTCCAGCTATATGGCGGTGGTCTGTTCTGCCATAGACATATTAAAGACAAAACCTGATAAACCAATGACGATAGTTATGATGAACATCCTGACCTGTTTGGCCGCTGATCAGTTTAGCAGCTGGCACAGGCTCTGGCTACAGCTCTGGCTCTCAGGCTGAGAAAGATGTTGCCAGCTGCAAGCCTTTCACAATTTGGTACCCAACTGAAACTACTATTATAATATATCATTCGGTCACCTTTCCCTAAAGAAGTGATACAATCCAAACATAAATATGAATATCTACTTAAATCGAAAGTAGTTGTGTGACTTACGTTATCGTGCCTGAAGTGGCAGAGCATCCGAAGTTCTCGGTACACCCGTTTACAGGAGATGAGGTTTTGGAAGACATTTGGCATCTTCTTGAGCGCCACCCGTTTGCCGTCACGAGGGTCCGTAACCGCCCTGTAAACACAAAACAACATTATTCATTCCACAAACCAAACAGGAGCAACTAGACTAAGGCTTAGTCTCTGAATATATATAATTTTGATAGTAACAAACAAGCCCATTTATATTGAAAAGGAGCCCTAGGGAGACCAGAGATTCAGATTCCTGAACCCGAGGAAATCTAGACTTGCTTTATTTAGGGCTTTAGCACTGCAGAGAGGGCTTGGCAGTAGGGAAAATAATGTGGTTTAGGGACTGTGAGACTAAGGAGCAACTAACAGAGTTATAACCGTGAAAGGACTTCCGGTACATTGGCTTATTGTAATGAATAGATAGAACGTACAAAACAAGGAAATCATACATGATACGAAAAAAACTTTAAATATTTGATACCATAGTTCATACAGACTCAAACTTCATAAGTTGTATGACCACCTTACTATCACACTGTAACAAGACGTATTGTTGCAGTGCTATTGATCATTAACTTCTCCATCAAGGTCCTATTCAATAAGGCGATCAAAGTGCTACAACTATTATATATCAATGGGGCAGTATTGGAGTATTATTGTCTTAGCGCTAAGATCAATTTGTTGAAGCGTCACACATCAGGAAGTTTTCCACCACATGACAAAGTACTTGTACATAACTGAAAAGGTAATTTGGCCTCCATTTCTGACAATGACAGAGAATTAGAATGTGCCTTTTTGTTATTCATTGCCATTTGTTGATTTTCTGATTAAAGAAATGTCTTTATGGGTAAAGAAGTCAAACTGAAGATTATCTCTACCATTTTATTCACCGAAGGTGACTTTCACCATTTTATTCATTTACGACAAATTTCATGTCCATTGAGAGTTTTTTTGCACTTATTTTTTTAAATTCCAACACCATTTCCAAATACTGATATATTCTTCAAAACAATGAATATTCTGTTTGTTTCCCATTGCGTTTTCCAAAATTCAAATATAACTAATTAGAAATACTGGAAATGGTGAACTTATTCAAAGTTATTTTCATACATCACTAATTTACATATTAGTCTTATTAAACATTATTCCCAGAAGAACTGCAGTAAACAAGATGACATCTCAAGATAATACTGTTCCCTGCATGACAAATGTCTTCAACTGAATGGCCATTCTATTAACAAGTTCGGTTACCACTGCAGCAGGAAATCAGGGATAATGTTACTGAGGGGTCACACATGCATGCAGCCATTGACTAAAGACACAAGCAACTGGAGGTTAGCCATCCCAGGTGACAAGTTCATCACACACACTGGACACCATTGTCAGGGGAAGAGGTCATTCTAATAAAACTGGTTTCTTGGTCGTGTACAGCTGATTATCAAAGTTCACTGACCACAACAATCTATCCAGTACAAGTCAAATGCTTCTTTCTTTATCATCTATATATCTAGTGAGTGAGTGAGTGAGTGCGTGATCTGAATAGTATTTCATCCTTCAAGACCTGTTTACACGACACAGATATCAGAAACTACAGCTATTGATGAAGTAAGTAATGAAGTAAATATTTGCTGGGGCACACGCTGAAGGATCAGTGGTATTTTACTGGGTATGTGAGCGAGTATAGTCTAACGCCGCTTTTAGCAATATTCCTTTAATATCACGGCGCCAGAAATTGGCTTAGTTTTACGCCACTTTTAGCAATATTCCGTTAATATCACGGCAGGAGACACCAGAAATTGGCGTCACACGTTGTACCCATGTGTGGAATCGAACACATGTTTCGGCGTGACAAGCGAACGCTCTAACCACTAGGCTACCCAACTGCCCCTCAAGGGTATGTGAAGCGACGCTACGACATATGTCATTAAAGCCAGACCTGTGACCAATACACACCCGTGAAACCCAATGCATAACAAGTGTAGTTAGTGACATTGGCATAGGCCACACTGAACTGTATTCCGGTTATACTTGGCCTTGATGTGGTTGGAAGCCTGGTAGTGGTACTGCAAGTCTCATACCACAAGAGGGGAATGGTGCTAACTATCCACATGACATAATCACAGCAAATCGGGCATACGAACCACAATCATTGATTTCTGGCATGGCGAGGGGAGACAACTGGCACCCCTACTGAATCACCGTGCCGACACAAGACCACTGTACAGACACCGATTCAGCTACAACTAAGTTACATCACCATGTCATGTAAAAGATGATCTATATTGAGATAATGCAGTGAAAACCCACAAGGTCTCGCTGGAAATTGTTCATTCCATGCATACACAGCCTTTGATTAGGAAACAAGCATGATTAAACTCCAGTGAAAGGAATAGGTAACAATATAGTGTTAAAAAATTGACTTATACCACTCAACGTTTACAAAGGACATCACTTTGAAGATGACCGTTTGGTCCTTAGCAAATATTGAGGAGTATACAATTACAAAATAAGTGCAAACTATCTTTCATTCAGCTGTCAACCTAGTTTCCTCGAAAATATATTCAAGTGTTTTTATACATTCACAGACAAATACATAAATGTTTCGTGTGTTCAAAAAGGATCGAGGTACAGTATCTGCACTCACTTACACACGCATCTCTGAATCTGGCATATGCAAGGGAGATACGATTTAACTACTGTGACCTGTTTCTTGGAACCACCGCCCTGGCTAATGACTATGGCTATAGAATTCTACAACATAATATTTGTTAATGGCACACTCCCAGGTATAACTTCATATCTATAGAGTAAGATTCCTTTAAGTACAGACAACTGAAAAGGTGCTGAGGTCTGGCTGAGGTCTGGCTGAAAGGCGTCTTTCACAGCAAGGTCTTGTTGAACAAGCCATATCCTGACCTCTGTGACAAAGGGACCTCTTTATCATGATCAACACAGACTCAATGTTATTGAAAGGGACAAGGAAAGAATTATGCCTTTGATCTGATCCTATCTGAGCAGCACAAGCCATGGAGTTACAAGGTTTATATCACAGTGAGTGTCTATTGTCACATATACACTAGCTGTAACACATGGGCAAGCTCTGAGGAATATACCATTACAATAGTCTGAAATGTCAAATATGTGCTTAGATCAGCAGTACATGGGGACCTTGCTGTGTTGCTTGAATTCTGAACTTATCTTAAAAGCTGTGGTAACAAGAAACTTTTGCATTAGATACATTATTGATTTTGTTAACAGTTATTTAAAGAACGCAACATTATCAAATCAGTGTAATCAATATCCAATCAAATGGCGTATTGTGTCTTAAATAATACTTCTTACGTAAAAACAATTACTCTTTCGCACTACATCTTTAAGAGAAAAAACAACCAAAAACCCAAGGAATGTGTCCTAACTTAATGGATCAATACACACCGGATTGTGTAATAAAATATTTATTGTTGAAGTCTGCAAAAACACAAAGGTTCAAATTACATAAAATTGAGTTTGGTGGGTAGACATGGTGTATTAACTTGTATTTAGAAGAAAGAAAATATGGACCACATACCAATATATTTATGAGAAAATAAACAATATTGCCATGATCTTCAACTTATGGTAAATTAAGAAATTAACTGAGATAATGATCCTCTTTTAGGTCAGTTAGCAATTTTATACTGTGAATATGTTGTGACTGATTGAAGACTTCAGCTTGTATATACAGGATGTAAATGAGAGCTAGCACCCAACATCCTGAATATCTATAGGCACTGATTGGATGCTTCAAATACTGTTGTCCTGACAACTGGGAGAGAGCACCCAACATCCTGACTACAGATAGGCACTGATTGGACACTTCAAATACTGTTGTCCTGACAACTGGGAGAGAGCACTCAACATCCTGACTACAGATAGGCACTGATTGCACACTTCAAATACTGTTGTCCTGACAACTGGGAGAGAGCACCCAACATCCTGACTACAGATAGGCACTGATTGGACACTTCAAATACTGTTGCCCTGACAACTGGAAGAGAGCACTCAACATTCTGACTTCAGATAGGCACTGATTGGACGCTTCAAATACTGTTGTCCTGACAACTGGGAGAGAGCACCCAACATCCTGACTACAGATAGGCACTGATTGGACACTTCAAATACTGTTGCCCTGACAACTGGGAGAGAGCTTTTTAACATCCTGACTACAGATAGGCACTGATTGGACACTTCAAATACTGTTGTCCTGACAACTGAGAGAGAGCACCCAACACCCTGACTGAGAGCATCTTCAAGATCAGATTGGACACAAGATACCTTGTCCAAGAGACTGGGGGGTGTTGTGGACAGCATCTAACACCCTGGCTGAGAGCATCAGGATGGACACTACAGGATACCTTGTCCAAGAGACTGGGGGATGCTGTGGAGAGCGGCTAACACCCTGACTGTGAGGGTCTGGGCAACATCTGGTGTTCATTGCTGCCTCTCAGCATGTCTAAATAGATAGCCATACCTTCTCCATCCAGCTGGGAACTAACCAATATGAAAGGCTGACTGGCTCAAAACCATCAGCTTGGTAATAAATCTGGATGATAAGGAAGAGACAGGCACACTTGGAGGGGGTTGATGGGCTTGCTGTGTGAACTCTGCTCTGATTTACTGACTATTCAGTGAAAATGATGGCTCAGGCTTTTCAAAAGAGTTGTATGTCACAAATGAGTGACTAATATAGGTTTTTACATGAGTAAAAACCTTTCAGAGGCATTTCTGTTAGATCATGAGTCTGAAGAGGAAGGAGAGCCCCAGTTAATGCAAGCTTTAAACATTTCCCACTTTGGAGAAACCCACATAAGTGTGTCAAGAAACTAAGGTTTAGAATCGAGGCCAATCTACGATCTGAACCCAGGACCAGTAGTTATGGTAACTTAGTGATACAACTGTCAACGAAACCTGAGTCCACAACCTACACATGCCGTGGATCACAAAACAGTCGAAAATTTAGGTCATATTTATTATATTTTATCATATATTTAAAGTGTGAAAGGCAGATTTCATAAGTTTAGTAAAGTGATATTTTCACAGCAATTGCAGAAGAGTTACATGTTC